ACAATGAAATTTGTGAAAACACAAGTATATTAAAGACATCAATAACTGACAAACTCCTATCACAATATTGACACAAAAGAATCAAAATAACAGTTTACCCCCCCCCCCCCCCCTTTTTTTTTTTTTTTTTTTTTTCCTTCAAGGATTGTAGGATTAACATCTAAAGGAGGAGATTCAACAGGTACAAATCAGGGAATCGTATAACCACACAGAACAGTTCTATTGGAGCACCACAAATCGGTTATGCAATACCCTGTTGTACAATGTGCGCCGGTTTGCTCGTAATTGAATTAACCAATCGGTTTACCTTAGGTTGCAATTTTCATCAACATGGTAGTGAAGAAACAAATTATAATACGCATTGGCGAAGCAATAGCAGATTTTAAAAGCCTGAACAAAATATAGATTCTAAAAAAAGAGTTTTTAAATCAAATTACGTACATAAGATTTACAAGTTATTTCAATTTTAGCACATGCCTGTGACAGTTGGAAAACCTCTATAGACACAGGATGAATATCGGATGCATACATAAACAAACGTCTGAGTGATGAACAATAAATCGGTTGAAGGGGATAAATTTACAAGGAAACTATTTCAAAACGCTGTCTCTTATGGGGCTGACCATTCACGACCGGGTCACGGACACCGACTTGGTGACCCCAGAGTTGATCGCAGCCATTTTGAAACTCTCTTTTCGACTTGTACACTTGACTCGACTAATAGGCCTAGATCACCATACTAGACCCATATAAGCAGGTGAATTTCTATAGGCTTTACCCTTCACTGACCAAAAAGACTGACAACCTAACGCTGCACCTCTTTGGTGCGTGTGAAAAGTATAGCAGCCACCTTTAAACTGTCATTATGACGTCAAAGTGTTCATCTGCACCGCAATACCAGGTGCTTGACACTCCTGACATCCTTAGCTACAGTTTTGATAGGTTACAAGACAATAGCTTGGTAACTTCTGCCACACTCTCAACGTTTTCATTTGAAGCCCTATCGTACATGTAAACGGGGGGGGGGGGAGAGACGCAGGTAAGTAAGTAATCACATCGGTAGGCAGCAGACAGGCTGTAGGTCAAAGAAAAGACCATCTCCCACACCTTGGACATCTAATGTAAGACCTATATTGTAAAGACAAATCGTGAGTGAAGTGGTCAGCATCATGCCGGCCGCATTTATTTACCAGAACTCTACCTGGTACCCATTTTAGGATCCGTCGACCTGGGAGCCAATGTAATTTTTATTTAAATCCGACTCGATACGGGTTTGAATCAACGACCTTCGGGTCCGCATGCGAGTGTCTTAAGTAAGCTGACAGGTAGATGGGAGGAAAAGACAAGCAGGCAAATTATCAAGTTAATATATACATGTTTCCCGCCCGCCCAAAACTGCTACTATCTGTTTGTACCTGTCGCATTCGTCCGTATTGTCCATTGTGATTTTGTGTATCTATGTAGTATTGTTTAATTTGTATGTGCTGATGAAGGCTCAATAGCCGCAACGTTCACATTGTGTTTGTATTTGTTATATTGTGAAGCTTGCTTATATTCTTTTCGTTCGGGTTTAAATCTTTTCTTGATAAGTTAATATATAGACATGTAACATGTCTAAGTGAGGAAAACATAATAAATGACAATAACAGTAATAATAATAGTAATAATAATGATAACGGATATGATAATAATATTGTACTGGATAATACAAAATGGGAGGGGGAAAAAAAAGGGGGGGGGGGGGTCATGGATCTAAGTCTTCAAGTTCCAGCTCCCAAAGAAGCAAGCAACAAAATACTTATTGTATGTTTTACTATTCCGACATGTGGCATATCAAACCATTCTTTTTTCTGCATCTTTCGCTTGATAACCATTGAATAACCCACGGGCACAGGTTAGGGGCTCATGTGAAGTCAAGCGTACAAAGGGAAGGACCCGGAGGTAGTAGGTTAGATAGTACAAAAGGTTACTGGGTGTTTTGGAGGGAAAGGGGAGTTGGGGGAGGAGGGGTTCCTCAGGTACATTCTAACAGGTGAATCTGGGAAACGGTTCACTGCTTGACCTACAAATGAGTCGGGAACGAACAGTGTTAGATTGTAGACCACATTTAAAAATAGCTCCTGTTCAAAACGTATAACAGTACAAGTAGATTAAGTTATAGTAAACTATAGTAAATTAAGGCAAAGTAAAAAATAGTAAAGTACAGTAAAGGTTAGGTAAAACACAGTTAAGTATATCAAAGTAATATAAGACTAAGTGAAGTAGGATAAAGAGAAGTAAAGTAAGGACAGTCATTATCATGTAGCAGATCCTTTGCAGAACGTCGCTCTCATCACGGTCTGCCTGAAAGAAATCCAGTGTCTTGCTAGCTCTCCCGTCTCGTGTACTTTCATATTCAAGGGATGACATATCCTGTGCCCATCTTCGTGTTTGTCGGCCCCTGCCCATCCTTCCTGGTACCTTGCCTTCAGCTACTAGTGTTTTTCAATACGCCATGGCGCTTGATATGACAAACATATTTCAACTTCTGAGACAAGATGCTGTTTATTAGCCAATCTTCCTTAGTGTTCAGATCTTTTAAAATTTCAGTATTTCTTACTTTCTTTGTCCATGGTATTCCGAGAATCTTTCTAAAACATTTTAGCTGAAAAGCAGTTATTTTCTTCCGGACTGAGAGATAGTCCACGACTTACACCCAAACGTTGTTAGAGAGAAGTTGTAAGCTCTCAAAATATTAATGTTGATTTTCTTGCTGATGCTTAATCATAGACTTTTAATGCTGTTTAATTTGTCATTCGTCACATAAATAATAATAATAGTCATTATAATATTCACTTAAACAAGGCTTGGGCCCTATGAGAACATGCGTTAGAGGCTGAGCTCCCAACCCTCTCAAATTACCCCTCCCCTCCCCTTTTACAACCCTCAGTGTGTTCTTGTCTTTGACTCCTCTTTAACAACAGACTATCATCCTCAGGCTATTGGTCTGCGCCAAAACAAAGTCATTCCCATACCATTTGTGAAAATAAGAAACGGTTTGCACAAGATGATGAAATCTGGCCATATCTACACCCCCTCTCCCTCATCCAGTATCCACCCCTCCCCCCCCCCACCCCCACTCAATGTCTTACCCTTCAGCTAATGTACTCCCCGTGTCCCGTGGTTTCCGATCTCCCTTATTTGTATGCAGACTATTGATTTCTAGCTACTCGTGCAGATGCACTCCGACTTCCAATGAAACACCCCCTAATTAGTCGCCTTTTACGACATGCTTGTAAGGGAAGCAGATGGCCTACTTTGTTTACTTCCAAAATGTAGCACCCACATAGAATAATGTATCCTTGCAACATGCCGTGAAGTAATAATAAACAAACAGATAATGTATTGATTAGCACTCATAGAAAGAAGTAGGAGGAAATAAGAGAAATGTATAGACAACCTATGGTATCAACATAAAGACAAAGAAAATGGAATGAGGAGAAGCAAGCAGAAAAAAAAAACACTCGTGAAACAAGAAGACTGGTGAAAGAAGGAGACATACACACGCCGCACTCATGCAAACTTAAATGGAGGACATAAGAAATTCACTGTTTTAATTAAAGAAACTCTGTTATTGAGATTATTTAACTACTAATTGTAAAATATATGTCGTAATCACAGATCAAAAGATTCAACAGGACAATATTTCAAATAATAATGAAACAATCTGCAGAAAAGTCTTAAAGAAATTATACGATACATAAAATTCCCAAAATTAAAAATACTCTTAAAACTCACAGAACACCTCATACCCCAGTTATAAATCTGTGGACTGAACATGTTATTTCTATACGAAAGTTACCACTGCTAAATACTTACATCCAAAACGTTTAATCCACATCCGTTGTCAGTGAATAAATGTGAATTCTTTATACCTTTATCTTGTTGAATTCGTGGACAAAATCTGCTGAAATGTTCGGCTAAATCTGAGTTCTCCTTGCCTTTCGGTTGAGAGTTCTAGTCATAATGTTTTTGTCCAGTCTTTTGTAAAGTCTTTAGTGCATTCACTCTTATTTTTGTGATCACATTTAAAGCCATTTCATATTAAATAAAATCTCCAGTGAACCAAGTTCCGATATCTCTGTTATGACATGTTATGAACTTCCAATGTTTGTAGTTGCAGTAATTTACACAAAAATACCCTGTTCAACCCTGAGGGTTATAATTTGGATATAAAGTGCTTACTTACAAAAGTAAATATATTGTTTCATATATCATGTCTTTATTTATATATGGCAGTAATTTGTATTACTGTTGCAAATTTTGGTTTGTGCTGTTTTCTGGGTTGTTATTAAAATGGAAATTGTACTATGAATATCTAGATCATCTTGCTAGCATTGTGTCTTTATAATAGTGGATTGATTACCTCTTTTGTACAATAGTTGATTAACCCTTGTGTGTTCGGTGGCCTGGGAAACCAGAATCGACGCACAGCCCGATAACAATCATGCCCAGAAAGGGTACCAATAAGGCTTTGTTAACATTCACTGTGCTGAGCCTAAAAGTGCAGATGTCGCAGCACAGCTGTAGACCACAACACAACGTGTCAACCTGTCTTTAAGGGCGAAGGTGTTAAAGAAGATACGGTTAGTTAGGAAGGGTAAGGAAGCTGCCCAGGGGTATGGTCACTGCAGGTAACTAAAACAGGTAACTAAAACAAACAAACTAACAAACGATAGCCCTGATTAATAAACAGCTCTTTGGAGTGTTCAAGGTTGAGAGAGTCACATGAGGAGTTGTCACAAGGTAAATCGGTCACGGACACACCGATAAACTTTTTGAGCCTCCGCGTTCCGCGTTGAACGTCTTCTCTACCGGCTTATAAAAGTGAAATCCCAGGCAAAATTGGCAGTTTGTTTGGCGACGTTGGTGTGAGTGTTTGGTGATACGGTTAAATCTCGCAGCAGTTGGATCGGCATATACATCAGGTGACTTTAAGGATTCGGCTGTGGAGGTTCAAGATGAAGCTGTTGTGTGCGCTGATTGCGAGTTTGATCGCGGTTTGTGGCTGGGCGTTGGTTGTGGCGGATGATGATACCATTAACCTCGTCTTTGATGATACAAACGGATTGGGTCGTACATTTGAGGGCATTGGTGGTATCAGTGGAGGAGGGGTGAGTCTCTGTGTGTGTGTGTGTGTTTTACAGTTTATCATAGTTCTGAGTCTGTATTTTATTATAATGGTTAAAAATACTATGTATAAAACGACGTATATCAGCTTTACGGAACACAGTACCGTAGGTATACTTTTATATTATACTACGATGCGGCCTTAAACCTTCAACATTATAGATTGTAACGTGAACAATATATTATGTAAACATTCTCTGTTGTGTATGTGTGAGTAGGATTAATATTTTAAATTTCAACGCCATCACGATGAGTGTACACACACACGGACACATGCATACACAAATGCATGTGTTTTCTTCAAAAAGGAATAAATGTTGGAATCCCCAAGTAAAATAGTACTTTTTGACAGTTAAGAGTCCAGTGGTTATCATTGAAATATTTAAAGATTATGGAGATGTAGATCAAACTTTGACATTTTTTTGTCTGCAGATTAAACAGGTGTAAATCAAATCATACATAGTTAACATAGCCTTTCTCATCTGAAAATTAGATATTGTGAATAGAATTTGGAAATTTCATGTCTGTAAACTAGGTATTGTGAATTGAACTTTATTTCATGTATGTAAATTCAGTGATGTGAATAGAACTTTGACATTTCATGTCTGTAAATCAAGTGATATGAATAGAATCATTTCATGTCTGTAAATCAAGTGATATGAATAGAATCATTTCTTGTCTGTAAATCAAGTGATATGAATAGAATAATTTCATGTCTGTAAATCAAGTGATATGAATAGAATCATTTCTTGTCTGTAAATCAAGTGATATGAATTTACTGAATTAAATTTTGTGAAAAGAACTATGAAATTTTTGTGTCCTAATTGACTTGAATAGAACTATAGCATTTTATATCTATAAATAATTAGTGATGTGAATTCTGAATAGAACTATGACATTTCTTTTCTGAATCAAGCAATGTAATTAGCACCATAACATTTCTTGTGTGTTAAATGAGTTATAGGAACATTCTTGCAGGACATGTTCTGTTAGCTGCACATATAGCCCACAAGGGCACAAAGGTGAACTACGTAGATGTACAAACTGCCCATGAAAATAAAAACATGCTTGACATTTTATTTTTAATAACTAGCTTTTAAAATCTGTTATCTATAATTAAACTGAAAAAAAGTTATTATTCAAAGTACAAAAGAACTCACTTTCAAAAATGCTTTACGCCTCTGTCCCTTTTATTTAAAACCTTCCATGACCTCCTCTCCCGCAACATTCCATGCCCCCCCCCCCCCCCCCCCAGGTTGAGAACCACTTGTCTAAAGTACATAAACTTGGATATAGAAAGTCTTTAATTATCTTTATCGAACTGACAGAATTATTATAAATTAAAACTGTATTTCTTGCTGGTTAATGACCTGCAGTATATTTCTCATCTGCAGATTGATTTGAATAAAACTATATTTGTTGCATGCCCACAAGTCATATATTTATTGATGTGCATTTTGTATTTCAGTTTAAGATTCTGTTGTTTTGCTTCATTTTAATAATTGGTAATGTGGTATGCACCTGACGAGATACAGCAAAATATGCCAGGCAATAAATTGTGCAGTCTGTTGTTTGTCTTCTTTGTTCAAATATTTTTAAATCTTTTCCAGGCTACGTCTAAGCTACTGGTCAACTACCCACAACCGCTGCGTGATCAAATACTGGACTACCTGTTTTTGGTAACTTTTTACTTTTTTTCTTAGTTTTGTCAAGTTTATGTTGAAAGGTGAACTGAGAAACTCTTGGTGGCTTCGGATGTGCGTTATAAAAATCAAAAGAAATAGACTACAATAAACTAATAGAGAAAAAATGGTGATGTAAGAGTAGGAGGGAGGGTAGGCAATCATGCTAGCGACTGTAGTAGTATTAGTAGCAGCAGTTTAATCACAAATATCCGGTTCAACCTCTGGGTTATAATTAGGATGTAGATGGTTTTACTTATATGGTTTTTCTTGTCTGATATTGGATGTTTTCTTATTTGTTTTCTTCTTCAATCTTTTTGTCAGAAAACTTATATCAGGAGGCCGGTAGCCTTTATGAAAGCTATCGTGCAATCCATATCCTCTCGTGTACCATACAGCTTTGTCTTCACTGTGGTTGAAACAGGCCAGATGTGTCTCTGTTGTCAGCATACAGTTGACAGTGTTGGAGCACATGCTCAGCATATTCGCTGCAGAGACACATCTCTGTGCTTCTTACGACGACAAATTTGAACATATGTTGATGAAGTCTGAGGTGCCCTGTCCTTAGTCTGAATATAATACACTGTCCTTCTCTAGAGAGGCTGTGAAGCAAGTCTTGAGGAGAGAATCTGATGTATGTATCCAGCCACCTTTCTTGGATACTAGATTGTATTAATGTTTTCGTCTCTTGGTGGGTTAAGTCGCTATTTGGTTGTACCATGTCACTTTCACATCTAGCCAATCTATCTGCTTTTTCATTGCCTTCCGAGCCACAGTGACCTGGAATCTACTGTATTACAGACTGATAAGCCTAAGTAATTCAGCTGTTGCATCAAGACTACAAAATATAACTAGAACGTCCTTGAACTGGAACCCACAGGGGCATAGAAGTGAAGGAAGACAAAAAACATAGATGGAGAAGAGAGCTAGAGAGTACAGTTGAAAAAATGGGGAGGACATGGGTAGAGCAGCATGTGATAGCGAAGGATAGAACGACTTGGTTGAGGGCCTATGCTCCAATGGGGGTGAGAAGACAGAAGAAGAATAAAAATACTATAGGGTATTTAATATTTCATTTTATGTGTTCGCTATCACATATTATAAGACTGTAGATTACACGTTAAATATATCATTATAAGCATATTTTTCAACAAACTGTTACAATGTTGTTTTATCAGTCTATGGTAAATTTGCATTGATTGTGATGGTTATTATTCTGTTTTGTTATCAACTGGAGTAGTGATTCCATTTGTGTTAGCAGTACATGATTTAAAGAAACTGATTCTTGTTCTTTCTTCAGTACATCAATGTGATCGTTTTCATTTCAGACACCAAGCAATATATGATTTGGCTAAATTCTCTTAGTCATTCAAACCATTTTCTTGTCTGTACAAAATCAACACAAGAAATTAGACCTGTTTTTCTAATTATGTATATTCCAATGAAGCTGGCAGTTTTTCTTAGGCACTTCATTTCTGATGATTATTGCAGTCAAGTCCATTTACAAACACAGTGGATGATTACACTCCCTTGTCAGCGTCATGTCTAACACATTTTTCTCTCTTCCTCTGAGCTGTCATTAACAGGGTGGTTGCAGGTTGTTTTGTGGTTTGCAGCCAAGCTGTGATATCTCTGCCTTTAGGCCCAACATCTCCAATTTCATCAGTTCCTTAATTATTTGCCTTGTATAACATGTTGGTTGAGGAGCAGTGGCTGTAAACCCCCCCCCCCCAATCCTCCCCCAAACACAAAACAGGGATCAAGATTTATGTTAAGATGAGTTGAGTCAAGAATTGACAACACAGCACTCAGTGCATTCCCATGTATGCTCCGTCCTCATCTTCAGCAGCCAGTGTAGAGTTCCAATACTGATGGTACTGGTCACAATCTGGGGTTATATGTCCGTCTTGCCTTTCCTCTGAGTGTAGTGAGCCGGCCAGACCCTCTGGTTACACCCAGTTACCTCAAAATTTATCAGTTCTTGTACTTATATCTTTATTTGCCATGAAAAAGGTATGCCAACAATTTTCTCCCTCTCTCTCTCATTCCTTCAGTGTTTCTAGTCGTCAGAAGAGGTTCAAGTTCTCCTCTTCTCATTAAGTGGCTAATTTTTATATTAGCCTATGTCTGTTGCTTGTGATTAGTTGTCTTACTCTTACATGTATAGACGGGGTGTTCATACTATAGTATGGGGAGTCTAGTTGGTCATGTGTTTTAGTAAATGTGTTTCTACAGCAAGGTGCTGTCATCATTTGAAAGTGGGTGGTTCTTTTTCCAGGATAGTAACTATAACTTTCAATTTTGTCTAGAGTGTTCTATCTTTCTACTTCATTCTGTGAGCACCAATCAATACACATCTATTTGTTTATTATATTTATGTATATAGACAGACAATTTATTACCTGTTTTCATGACTTTATGATTTGTCCTTCCGCAGCCAAACTTTGGAGCATCTCTTCAGATTTTGAAAGTTGAAATTGGTGGAGATGTGCAGAGTACTGGTACGTATTCAACTTATCCGTGTTCTATCTTTCGATGGTTAGTTCCATGATAGTCACTCCAGAGACCGCCCATATACACACTAGCTCACTTCTGATTGGTAGTTCCTGAGCCATGCTACCTTCCCACACTCCTACGGGGGTATTCTGCAATGCTCTTGATATCGCGTATTGTATATTTCAGCACGCCAGCGCTTTTAACACTATAAAAACATGGAGAAACTGGATCTAAGACACAACCCCTTTAGAGAGTGTTGCAACCTATGTCGCAGACATTCTCTTTCTTGGAAGAAAAACATAAATGCAAGACAAGCCAGAAAGCAAATAACAGAGCGGCGACCCGTAAACCCCCCCCCCCCCCCCCCCCCCCCCCCCCTCCCCCCCCCCCCCCCCCCCCCCCCCCCCCCCCCCCCCCCCCCCCCCCCCCCCCCCCCCCCCCCCCCCCCCCCCCCACCCCCACACGCCCCCCCCCCCCCCCCCCCCTCTTTTCTGAAAGTACACTAGTCCAAACAAAAAGTTATCAGTGGAACATGACCTACTTTGTTTGGGGAGATTAATGTCAAACTAAATCTTTCATTTACTTCTCTCTTGATAAACTGTTCAAGAGGCCATTCACTGAAAGGTATATGTTTGTATGTTCAACACTGGACAACTGCTAACTTTTTATTTGATATTTCCTCTACTTATAAATTTTAAGAATCACCTTTTTCCTGGGCCTGGGAGGTGACAGCAGCTGTCGGCGTGATGTTGACCACATCATCCATTGAGTGTTGACCCGACTATTAAATAAAGGTCTAGCCCTATATGCCTGGAGGCCTGGAAAAGGTCCTTTATTTTACTTTCATCATGATGCGTTATGATGATAATAGTAACACTAATGTGTACAGTTACTGCAAATTCTAGAGATCTGGTGCTCGTCCATCACGAGTGATGAAGACCACTTTCATCCAAAGTAGTAACGATCAATGATTATGAGTACGAGGGTGGCTGATTAGTCCAATGGAGCTCGCCATAAAATATTCTCTTTGGGAGGCGATATTCTGGCATGTGGGCTTGGTGACCAGCTGACAATTCTTCAGTATCATGTGGATGCTAGGCAGGTTTGGCCTATCAAGAACCGCAGTATTTGGGATTTTATCTTGCCATTTGATTTTGACCAGCTTTCTGAGACAGGTTATATGAAACTGATTCAAAATTTTAGCATGCCGCTGATACACGTTTCTAGAGATCTACTCTGCATGAAGATGGATTTTTTTTCTTCAAAACTGACCTTTGCTCCCAGATTTGTACCAGATAATATCCTGTAAAGTAAAGGAGGTCGGTGTGATACTGACCACACCCAATGAGTGCCAATTACTCAATCAAAATTATACGTCTAACAGCATTTGCCCAATGTGCCTAAGGTGTGTAAAGAGCCTTTTACTTTACTCTACAATTACAGCACATGCTCAGTAGCTTGTATCCTGAAAATATTTTCCCCGTTGAAATTACTGTAAATAATCCTGAATTCATTCCAATCCTCCCAAAATCACCCGGTTAGTTTCAAAATGACATTTTTTGTTTGGCTAATGGAGAAAATTGTTTTGCACTGTTTTTGTTTGTTTTTGCTCTCAGTGGAAACAGAGTTACTTCCCACCTCATCATCATCAAGTGACTTGTCGATAGGTTCAAGTCCTCCATCGGCACTGTTAACATGATGTTATCCATTTAAAGCTATTGAGATGCCACAGGGGAATGACAAGAGTTCTAGTCTTTCCAGCGAGCATCCTGGATTTCGCTTTGTGTTCCGGGGCAAAACTTTGCAAGCTTGATCTTGTATATTATATCAAAATGATGCACCGTATATGTTTATAATTTTTTGTTGCCATCACAATTGTATTGTATTTTGTTTTTGTTTGCTTTGCTCAGACGGAACTGAAGCCTCACATATGCACAACAGCTGGGAGGAAAACTACGAGAGGGGTTACGAATGGTGGCTGATGCTGGAAGCTAAAAAGGTAATACAGGTCAAAGAAGTAGTTAACTTTTGTCACACCACATGATTGGTCTAGCTTGTATTGACCAATCAGAACACAAGGATGTGGGTTCATTTTATGAACTGTCGTTCAGCTCATGGGTGCAATTTCTTTAGAGATCTCTGGCAATTGACACTGGAGTTGTGGAGTCTGTGCTTTGTGCAGTGTTCTTGACAGGTACAAACCATTCTGCAAAGAAAGTGAGAGAGCTATAAAACATAATATCCAGTGTAATGATTTTTTTTTTTAAACTGAAAAGCTGCAGAATGATTCTTAGAATATCAAGTTCCAAAAGAATAAGGGAAAAAACTGATATCCTATATGATCTGAGCACTGAGGAAAATTGGCTTGTAAACAGCATCCTTTCCTCTGAAGTATTTTTGTCATGCTAACAATCACTGTGGCCTAGAGAGAATGGTAATGGAGGGTACAGTTTTCTGGAAAACAAGGCAAAAGCAGACCTCCACAAAGGTGGATATAAGACAGTGAAGATGAACTGACTTTGAAACACACAGACATGAAAAACTGACCCCACAAAGGTGGATATAAGACAGTGAAGATGAACTGACTTTGAAACACACAGACATGAAAAACTGACTCCACAAAGGTGGATATAAGACAGTGAAGATGAACTGACTTTGAAACACACAGACATGAAAAACTGACCCCACAAAGGTGGATATAAGACAGTGAAGATGAACTGACTATGAAACACACAGACATGAAAAACTGACTCGGGGAAAAAAAAGATACTTTTGGACATTCTTCGGCTAGAGTGACATTCTGTAAAGAACCTGTTGGTTGATGGTGTGTCAGAAAGAGGCTTCTAGAATGTAACATAGAACCTGGTCTGCTGTATGGCAGCAAATTTTGGAATGTCAGTAAACAAATTAGGAAGAATTTGGAAGCTACAGAGATGTGGTTTCTGAAACGAATGTTACAAATAACTTGACGGCTAAAGTAACTAACAACAATTGCTTGAAAGAAGCTAATGAAAGTAGATCTCTCTATAACAACAATAAGAAAGAGACAAACACTGTTCTTTGGCCACATAATCAGAAGAGAGACATTGGAGAACATCGTGACAACTGGAAAGATCAGTGGAAAAGGGGGTAGAGGCAGACCAAGAGAGATGATGCTGGATCCGCTGAAATGACGGCATGGAGGGATATCATCAAGAGAGCTCTTCCAGACAACTAGAGATCGGTATCTGTGGAGATGCATGAGCGCCTACGCCAGTTGGCAGGGCACATGATGGTGATGGATAAAGTTCCAGTAATGTTTATACAGTATTTAGAGTCATATTGTACATCAGTTTAAAAACTCTCAGCCTTTGTGAACTGATTTCATATTTTTTTTCTTTCCAGAGAAATCCAGATATTAAAATCTACTCCTTGCCATGGGGATTTCCCGGCTGGGTCGGACAAGGATCCTCAAGTCCTTACGGAAACACCACAGTCCTGGCTGATTATGTGGTCAGGTGGATTAACGGGGCCAAAACACACTACAACATTACTGTAGATTATGTTGGAGTACGTATACTGGTTCTTTAACCATTTCACTTCGTAACAATCTGAAAATATGACTTTTTTGACATTTCTTTTAAAAAAAATGAATGCTATCTTGTAATTTTCTGAAATTTACCCTAAGAAACTAGAGAAAGAGATGAGAAAAAGCAGTTTTTGAATCTTAAGCAGTTTTTATAAGAATCCAGGGGTCGAACCCTAGACCACTGCTTAGACATATGAGTGTGAAGTCAACAGCTACACTGCAGCCATCAAATTACTAAAATAATTTATAATAGTTTTTAAAATTATATATATATCCTGCAATTTAAAAAAGGAAAGAGGGAATAATAAATCAATTCACACAGCAGAGAATTTACTGCTTTCCTGGCCTCTGACCATGATGAAAATGATTTTGTTGATTAAGCCATGAGAAACAGTGAAGTTTGGTTGTTCAGCTTAGGCTCACAGAGGCCTGGGAAGTGTTCAGATTAGGCTCACAGAGGCCTGGGAAGTGTTCAGATTAGGCTCACAGAGGCCTGGGAAGTGTTCAGATTAGGCTCACAGAGGCCTGGGAAGTGTTCAGATTAGGCTCACAGAGGCCTGGGAAGTGTTCAGATTAGGCTCACAGAGGCCTGGGAAGTGTTCAGATTAGGCTCACAGAGGCCTGGGAAGTGTTCAGATTAGGCTCACAGAGGCCTGGGAAGTGTTCAGATTAGGCTCACAGAGGCCTGGGAAGTGTTCAGATTAGGCTCACAGAGGCCTGGGAAGTGTTCAGATTAGGCTCACAGAGGCCTGGGAAGTGTTCAGATTAGGCTCACAGAGGCCTGGGAAGTGTTCAGATTAGGCTCACAGAGGCCTGGGAAGTGTTCACAGATTTACTGATAATTATATTGTATTAACTCTTTGAGTCCCAAGGAACGCATCATATGTTCACAGGTTCCCACCTAGAAGCCCAATAAATGTATGATGCACCGATTTGTCATCTTTCTTTACTACCTTGGGCCTGTGATGTAAACCCTCTGGGACGAGTTAATGATGTTTCTATGCTTAGACTTGAGCTTCTGGCCCATGATGATCCCCGTTTACAACATTTGGCCCTTCAGTAGATTTAGTTGAAAGGATTTGTCATATAAGATTATTGTATAATGGAGACAGCACACATTAAAAATTATTTTTTAACTCTAACATCTTTTTTTTTAAATGACGGTAAATATAGTCATGCCGACCATGTCTAACACACTTTGCCGTTAAACCAGTATGAAAGCTGTTATATAGGCATTGTAGCTACTGCACAAAGACTTCATAGAATCAAAAACCTGTAATAGGGAAAAAACAGGAATTCTCCTGGTGAGAGGGTTAAATTTAGCAAAACAACAGCTGACACGCCTATAGTTAAAAAGTTATAAGTCAGGTCTTGGTCAGATAACGCCAAGCTACTTTATAACAGTTACCGGCCAACGGCTTCCGGCAGAAAAGCACACTGGGGTGGATTATAGATTTATCATAGGAAGTGAAAATGTAACTTGTAAACTTTGTTATGATGGCATGATAGACCAAGCTGTTGAGCCTTTATCAGAAAGTCTAGGAGAGAGCTCCATCAGGTGAACAGACAGCACTGCTATTTTGATCTGGTTGCTTCAGCAGGATTTTTTATTCCAGGTATTAATGTTACCTTTCCTTTGGCGTAAACAAGGCAGGCTAAGGAGGGATCACGCTGCATGGGCAACACTTGGTTTCTATATTACTGCCCAGTCTTTTGCTGCTGAGAGGAGGGCCTTCATTGTGGACCACTGGGCTATGAAATACAAGTGCCATAAATATTTGGAAAATGTTGACATACATTAATTCTTCGCCATCTTTTATAATCTACTCGCTTGTTCTATTAATCTATATTTTTACATTTTTCTTATGCAACTACATTTTCTTCTACCCATGTGAGTGTTTGTGATTTTTTAATGTTAACATGTTTTTTTTCATGTAACTATGTCTTATGTACTTGTACTGTCTCTGCATGTTTCAAAGTAGAAGGAAACATTTCATTAAAACAATAAGTAATTGACAATTTCAGATCTGGAATGAAAGACCATGCAACAATGATTATGTCAAGGTAGGAATTTCCCGTATTTTGCTTTTCCAAATATATTTCATGTCACAATTCTTCTCTTGGTTTACCTAGTTACTGCTGAACCTCTCTATTTACTGCTGTACTGAATGCAACTGCTCAGACTATCATTAGATTCTTGTTGGTAAGAAGTTTTGAATTTTCTCTGTTCTCTCCTTTGTAAGATATAGTTCTCATCCTCCACCTCCTCCTCTTCTTCTTCACCATCACTATCATTAAAGTATGTAATAACTTTGTGCCCCTTCGCAGCATCCCTGCAGTATTTGTACCTTTTTGCTGACATATTAAACAACTTCTGTATCTCTCTGAGTGAGCTTTCCTGGAGATGTGATTCTCTGACTTTCAATAATTCTTGCTGTCTTACTATATTTCTATTATCAATCCATTTGCAGACAAACAGGCAGTTGGCCAGCTTTATTCATATAAGATGGTCTACTATGCAGTCTTGTTCTAATGTCTAGCTTGTCATTTTATCAGTATTTTAATTGTATAATTCTAAAGAGAATTATATAGTGGCCGCGTTAGCGCAGTTGATAAGAGGCCCACTTTCAAATCCAGTTTAGGTCGGTGTTGGAAACTGGGTGGTTCCCGGGGTTGACCCAGTCTCTAGGAAATGGTTACCAAAGTTGACACTCTGGGGTAAATGGAGGAACTTCGCTGTAGCTACAGCTACGTGCGAACGGTGACACAGGCGGACAGTTCTTATCAGCTGTCCATACTGGTGGCAGAGCACTTATGGTTTATAACTGTGTACAATGACGCTGGTTCACATCTCCCAACTTTACCTTTTTACCTTTAAAAAGAATTCGCCACGTTAACTTTTCAATCCCAAACAATGGCTTTTGAATTCCAACAGTCACATAAAGTGTCATCTGCTACCTTTGGTCAGAGAATACTTAAAAAGTCTAAATCTGTGGCCACTACCACTGTGCAGTTAATGGTTTTAAAAATTAATGCTCTCTTGCTGACATTGCTGATTTCTCTGCTTTGAATGGCTATTCTATGAATGTGTTTTATGAATGAAAAAACACTTAATAGAATGAAATCTGAAGTTTAATAATAATTATAATTAAGATAACTTGGACATTCAACCCCACTAGGACATCAAGCCGAGTGATAAACACCCAGTGACACAAAGTGCCACCATTTGAAGGAGGATCACCCAGGGACAGGTCCTAGACACTCCATTTAAGCCATAGGTTGGGTTATATTATGGCCCCCGGCAACAGCTGGAGTGGGGCCTTAAAACGACAAAGATTGCGTCCGACATTGGGACTCAGGCAATTGTTAAGAAAACTTTCAGAATATTTGTTCAAGACTGCTAGCTCTATTACAAGAAATAGGCAGTCTAAAATTTTGCAGAATGGTTAAATATAAAATGGGAAGCATATTGTGACAGCTGAAGATCAACAATTTTAGGGGTGAGAGATAGGTAATTTGATGGATTAAAAAATGTACAGTGACTCTAAACTTAAGATCACTAACAGGAAAGAGAAGGCTAGTTACACTGATAAGTGGAGGTAGGTGATATCTGCAGCAGTGAATCTAAAGGAGCCTAAAGGGCTTGGAATGATGAAGAAAAGGAGAAAAGATAGGGAAAGAAATAGAGACTATATTGTTGAATACTTGCATCCATGAATGCATTGATACATTCATTTAAAGATCTTGGGCTCTAAAAACTGATTGCTACAAAAGTTGTGTAAGAATACATTTTCTCACTGGTAAGAGAAAATTGAGACGTAACAACTGATTATAAGTTTTATGTGAAAAGGTTAAGTGGATGATGTTCATGACAAACCAGACTAATCCAATGCATGAAGTTTACAGTTGTACAAAAGTTTCAACAAAAATGTTTCCTCTTGTTTCAACAGGTCTTAAGGAAAACTCTTAATGAAAGAGGATTTCAGCATACCTTAATAGTTGCATCAGACAACGGATGGGAGTTTGCTGATGGCCTTTACGGTGATCATGAACTAGCCAATGCTGTCCATGCTGTTGGGTACTGTTGTTGCTTTTTTATTGTGTTAATGTTACCTTTTTGTTATTGTAGCTGTTGTTATGGGATTGTGAGGAGCTGAACTACACTGGCATAACAGGAGGACCAGGGTTCAAACCAGTAAAGACCTGTATTTGCCTCATTGCGGTAATCTTAGAAACAGATTCACTGCTGGGAGCCTGGTCAGTGTAGATAGAATGTTTTTTTTTAAAGTCACAGTGCAGCTGCCTGATGTGTGAGGAACCAAAAGTCTGCACACAATAAGCCAAATCTGTAAAGTAGATGTGCATGCAACTCTTGATTCCTATCACAAAATTGTCTCCAGAAGTAGGCAAACAACCTTGTTAATTTCTCTTAAAGTACATTCAGAAACCAACCTAAGAGTTATAGGAGAGGAGAGGAAGTGACATCACTATTTCCTATGGTTTCGAGGAGTTTTTTACTGTCAGTCTGATGATTTAAATGAAGATACCTAGACAGGAGAAATATTTGCTGCCATATTTTCTTTTTAGTTTGCTGCGACCAAATGTAGAAAGTAAGACATTACATTATGTGACGTTTGGATGTTAAGTGAAAGAGCTGAAAACAAATTGCTTTTTTAAAAGAGTTACCTTCATAATCCTTTGAAATGATCTGAGTTAGAGTTTGGTTATATTCATGGCATAGTTATATTCATGGCACCCCAGGCAGGTCCATAGGTACTCAGTTTCCCCTTTCAACATACATAATCAGCATCTCAGGTTAACAGTGCCAGTTCTGTGCTGACTACCAAGAATTCTTGTATGTCCGGTGTTCCTCGCATGCTTGGCTGTGCATATCTCAACTCCTAGTTCTCACTTTCTTGGCAAATGTATTTTAGGCTCAATCTTGTCATTTTTAAAGATTTTATGCACACGCTAACATCTTTGCCCACTTTCTTTCCCTCACTTGTCTGGTTGCCATGAATGAAAACTCACCACAGGTGACTAGGTGTCAATAGGGGACTGGACACTTTTGCAAGAACTCCATAGCTTGGCCCAAAACATTTTTCTGCTTTAAGCTATACAGAAAACACAATCTGGAAAAAGGGCACCAATTATCCTACGGATGAAACAGTGTCCTGTTATCTTGGTTGTTTACATTGTGTACACTTCAAGATGTTATCTGCTTGAAGAGACTGTGTGATCTCGAGGCATGGTGTCCCCATCGAGTGCTAGAGGTTCCACGGTTCAATCCCCGGTAAGGGCAGGGATTTTTTCATGTGGACTTGGACTTCTAGTAATTCCCTCTGGTCTCTGGGTAGTCAGATTGTACACCCGTGTGTATTGTTGCGCATTTAAATATCCCTTGGCAAATGGAAATCGAAAAGAGTAGCCTAACGGAGCTGCCCAGGCAAAATTTTGAGTTAAAAATCTACCCAAAGTATTTCAGAATCCTCGCAGGTGCTACAGGGCCTGTGCACTGTGCTGAGCTTCTTCAGACTCAGACTTGAGTAAGAAGAAGAATGGAGCACTTATGGGTGACCACCCGTGTGCCATGATGTTGTTCCATTGTTCAAAACCTCAAGCCTCATCTGCTTGAATCATCTACAGATGCCATTACCCAGGTACATGGTCCAGCAACAGTGCTAAGTATGTTGGGAAAGCACTGTGGGCCTCAGAAGATTACAGCACCTTCAATGATGAATTTGGAGCTGGTTGCTGGGCAAGAGTAAGTCAATCATCATGTGCTCTTCTTCTTCTTCGTGTTCACCAGCCGTAAACTCTGGTGGAAAGTTCTGGTTGTTCATCCACTTCTGGACTGCAGTCCTGTTCCAGAACCTGAGTGTCATCTCAGATAATTGGAAATATTAGTTAAAGTATGTTTCTTTCCGGTTATAACTGACAGTGAACTCTGGCAGAAGGTCCTTGTTGGTGATCATGTCTGGACTTTAGCCTTGTACAAGGACTTCAGTGTTATTAACACATTAATTTTCCTAATCTGGCTTAGACTATTGGTTTCCCTTTCTTAGACAGTTGTGCTCTGGTTTTGAAGAAAAATTCAATTTTTGGGAGGGTCAGCCTCCTATTAAGGAACCCATTTATGGTATAACCCTCTAGAGTTGTAAACAGATCTTGACTAGCCCTGGTATATCCCATCCCAAGTGGCGATACACCTGTACATACCTGCAGTTTGACTAAATGATCTACCTTTTTATCTCTTTGACTATTTTTTATCAAATTAGCCAACTATCATGGTATTGTCAAAGAATCTTGTCACTAATTTGCACAAGGACTATTGCAGTTTTCATCTGCTTCTTAGACTCACTCTGCCCTCTGTATTCATTGAATTTTTCTCACAGTATGTCTATTAACTCTTTAAGGCCCAAACAACGGTGTGAGCGTAGTTTGAGAAGTTCCGTTCTGCCCAAACAACAGTGTCATCGTTAATCGTGTATCTCTTACATTTTGCTTCGCATGCGCGTTCGTACTAGTTTCTAATGTTTGGAGGTACGAATAACCTATTCAGGGAAAGTCACTCTACCGAAATCCTTTTAGTTTCACTTCTTGGACTAAAACACACGTGGATAATTTGAGAGAAAAAAAAACATCAATTTTTTTTTACAGTTTATTTTCTAAGTTCGTTTTTAAGTGCACTGAATACCGATGTTCTAACCACAAGAACAGGTCGCAGAATGCGTCTTTCTGCGGCCGAAGCTCTGAAATTGTTTCAGTCAGATGTTTTTAATTGTGAAAATGATAATAAAAATTTAGATTTTTTGGAAAGTGATTCAGACAGTGAATTTTCACCAGTGAAGCTGAGCGATCAGCTGTTCGGAATCTAGCGATTCTGACGAGTTTATTACGCAGACAATGTCCCATACTACCGTATTTATGGTGTAAGAGAAGGAAAGTGCTCTAAACAAAGAGATAGTACTATACTATGGCTAAGCTACATTGAAATCATCGCAGCTACAGTCTGTAAATAACTGCACAAAGTGATTAGTAAATAGTGTGTGTGTTATGGCTCATTTTTCTGCCATTTTTTCTCTGAAATTTTGCTTAGCACTCGGTGGGAACTAAGAGCCCCTGAGTGATAAACTAACCCAGAAAGTTATCATAACTTTAGAATATGTTAGGAAATTGAACAAACTTTGAAGTTTTGTTCTCAAATTTGGATATTTACTATTCTTGTGGCTGCAAAACCATGGTAAGTGAAGAATTTTTTTGTGAAATGTTGTCATTGTGAAATTAACACCTGCTGAATTCTTCTTTTCCACTAACTATAAAAAAATTAAACAAACACTTATCATCAGATTCAGAATGTACACTCATTTCTCGTTTAAAAAATATATACTGTTATAGGGATTAGAAGTATATTACAGTCTCTACAGCCTTTCTTGTACACCCACCCCTCTGCCATTTTTGTAAAGGGAAATTAATGTGGGCCAAGTCTGTCAAAATTCATGGGCCTGAAAGAGTTAATAAATATATTCTGCAGTCTGATTTTTTGGGTCCATAGATTGTTGTGTTGTTATGCTAGTGATGTCAGTCTATGCGGTAGTCTCCATCTTGAATGAAAATGCTGTGAGATTTACTTCCCCTAGCCACAACCTCTCAGTGAAGTCTACTAAATGGTAGTGTACGGGAACTGTCCCCATTTCTTCACCCCTGACAACAAAAGAGTATCAAGAGAATGTTTGACCCATTATTTTTATTGAGATATAATGATATATACGTATAGTGCACATGTTTGACCCATTATTTTTATTGAGATATAATGATATATACGTACAGTGCACATGTTTGACCCATTATTTTTATTGAGATATAATGATATATACGTATAGTGCACATGTTTGACCCATTATTTTTATTGAGACATAATGATATATACATGCAGTGCCATTATTTTCAGTTTACACTGTTGTTTCTTTACAGATTCTTAACCAGAATTATGTTGATGGGCTTATGACAGCGTAAGTTGTTCCTTAACACATTTATGTCCCATGGTGGTAAATTATTTGTAATGCGAGATAAAATCTTTAACTGTGTTACATGTTTTATATCTTGTTGCTTTATTTAGTGCTTTTCTTGTACATGATTTGTTTCTTGTAGCTTATTGTCCTTTTTTTTTTCTTTAAGTTTGTTTTCTAGTTTTTCATTTACTGAAATATACAATACATAAACGGAATCACTGTAATAGAACATGAAATAACTGTAAGATGTGCAGATAATACAGCAGTCAGTGCTGACAATAAACAAAATCTGCAGTTACTGGGTTATCCTCCGAATAACGGTCCAAATTTATCGAGGCTGAAAATATACCCTAACAGGGTCTCAGTCATGTGTCAATTGCGGACTTTCTGCAACTTAAATTGCGCACTTCTGGCGACTTAAATTGCACACTTCTGGCGACTTCCGCCAAGAGTATCCCCCACTCGCTCATGCGGCGTGGATTGGGGCTAAACTAGATGGCTGGGACTCACAAGCAGAAGCTACCACATCTCCTGCAGCTTCCTTCATTCTATTTGCTCGTGAGTCCCAGCCATCTAGTTTAGCTCCAATCCACGCTGCGTGAGTGCCGTGGGGGATACTCGTGGCGGTATAGTCCCCGGAAGTTCACAACTGACACGTGACTGAGGCCCTGTTAGGGTATATTTTCGGCCTCGATAATTTAAGACCTTTATTCGGAGGATAGCCAGTTACTGTATACAGCGATCACCGTGAACCAAATTGTTCTTTAAAAGCCAAGCTGAGGTCAAATTTCCTATCAGCCTCATTGATAAAGGTCATGGCACGAGTCACATGATACACATGTTTTTACGCCCTGAGGAATGTATTCCATTGACTTCTTCACTCAGTTTATGTGTTTTGATTACTCGCTTCAAATGTCTTTATGTATTTCAAAAACATTATTTAAAAAAACATAACTAAATTTGTAAAAACAAATTTGTTAATGGCCTATGTAAAATGTTTTTTTAAAGGGAATTCCTTTGGTTTCATTGCCCATTTGTTTTATCCTTTCCTTGGAGAAAGGGTTAGACTGGGGGGAAAGGAAATACCAAAATGTGGTATCAAATGATCTTCTTAAACAGGTGATTCAGTTTGAATGTCTTGGAAAAGTCATTATGATGGTAGACACAAATTTAAGATCACCTAGTAAAAAATGGATTTGTCCAAACTGTTAGGGCCAGCTAATTCCTGCCTAAAATAGTAGTTGATTCAGTGGACAATAACAATATATGGAACAATAAATTATTTAGTAGGTGGTCTCAACTTTTGACCACCACTGTACTTCTGATGAAATACGCCTTGTAGGAATTTTAACAAGACTTTGCAAACTAAAACCATACCCATCATCATCATGCAGCAGGTCCTTTGCAGAACGTCGCTCTCATCACGGTCTGCCTGAAAGAAACTCGGTCTCTCGCCAGTTCTCCCGCCTCATGAACTTTCACACTCAAGGAGTCACTTATATCCTGTGCCCATCTTCGTGTCGGTCGGCCTCTGCCCCTCCTTCCTGGTACCATGCCTTCTGCTAAAAATTTTTCCAATCTGTCGTGGCGCTTGATATGACCAAAATATTTCAGCTTCCGAGACAGGGTGCTGTTTATTAGCCAATCTTCCTTGATGTTCAGACCTTTCAAGATGTCAGTATTTCTTCTCTTCTTTGTCCAAGTTATTCTGAGAATCTTTCTATAGCATTTCACTTCAAAAACCCCTATTCTCTTTCTTAAGGACTGGGAGATAGTCCAAGACTCACCTCCCTATGTTGCTACAGGGAAGATGCATGCTCAAAAACATACCTACTGATACAAATTATCAGTGATAATTTATGTGATTTTTTTCATTTCTTTACAATACTTCACAATTGTGTGTTTATGATTTTATATTTGTTGCAGGACAATTGCTTGGGACCTGATCGCCAGTTACTATCACAACTTGGACTTCTTCAGAGATGGACTGATGACCGCCGTCGAACCATGGAGTGGTCACTATGTGGTCAATAGTCCTATTTGGGTAACAGGTTAGCAGAAACCTTCTTCACCTTTGTAGCATTCACCACCTATAAACTTCAGTAGAAGTTTCTGGTTGTTTGTCCACTTCTAGACTTAGGTCTTGTTCCAGAATTGAAGTTTTTTTTGTTCGCATACATTTTATGTATCGGGCATAATTTTGATAGACCTCTAGTTCCTCACCTGTTAGGCAGAGAAACCATGATTAGAAGGAAACACCCCAATTAGTTGCTCCCTAGGACATGCTTGCTATAAGAGTAGTGGGTCTATTCTGTTGTGTTCTCCAAATTAGGAACCCAGACAGGGAGGTAAGCAAGCCCATTGATGAGACATATTTTGATTTTTTTTTTTTTTCATTTTTTTTTTTTTTTTTTTTGCTCGTTTAATAGATCATAGTAAAAAGTAAAGTAAAGGTCTCTTTTCCACGCCATTAGGCATATAGGGCTAGACCTATATTTTTATAGACCAATCGACACAAGAGGGGTGATGTGGTCAGAATCACGCTTAAAAGATCATGCTCTGTGTTAACCATGTCTGTCAAGCCTTCAGTGTTGTCTCGTCTCCACAAAGGCTGACTGCAATGGATCTCCAATACACACACACTCTCTCTCTCTCTCTCTCTCTCTCTCTCTCTCTCTCTCTCTCTCTCTCTCTCTCTCTCTCTCTCTCTCTCTTGTCTTGGCTGGATACTCTCTCATATTTCTATCTATCTATCTTGCAATGTTGTCCTTCCACTTGTAACACTGTCTATAACTTGCCTTCTGCTTTTCCCTCCAGTATGGTTTCATAAATATGTTGTCTTAAAATGTGGCTGAAATATTTTATTTTGTCTCATGTTTATTTAACTCGGCAACTCTACTTTCCTTCCCAGGCTTTCAGAACCTCTGTTTTCATTTTGTCTTTCAGAACCTTTATCATTCCGTCCTTATACCTCTGTATTTTTTTGCCATGTGTATTGTCAGTTATTTCTGATAAGATGTTCTTCCATGCCATGATACCCAACCCATCCAACATCTCTCTTGGTTTCATTTCTTTCCTACTGTCCAACTACAGTTTACTCCAGTTTTCCCCTTCTCATGATTTGCACAAAGAATGTATTCTGTATCACACAGCCCAACTTGTATTGTGTATGCCTGTGTGTATCTTACAACCCAGTTCGTATTGTGTATCTTACAGCCCAGTTTGTATTGTGTATCTTACAGCCCAGTTTGTATTGTGTATCTTACAGCCCAGTTTGTATTGTGTATCTTACAGCCCAGTTTGTATTGTGTATCTAACAGCCCAGTTTGTATTGTGTATCTTACAACCCAGTTTGTATTGTGTATCTTACAGCCCAGTTTGTATTGTGTATCTTACAACCCAGTTTGTATTGTGTATCTTACAGCCCAGTTTGTATTGTGTATCTTACAACCCAGTTTGTATTGTGTATCTTACAGCCCAGTTTGTATTGTGTATCTTACAGCCCCGTTTGTATTGTGTATCTTACAACCCAGTTTGTATTGTGTATCTAACAGCCCAGTTTGTATTGTGTATCTTACAACCCAGTTTGTATTGTGTATCTTACAACCCAGTTTGTATTGTGTATCTTACAACCCAGTTTGTATTGTGTATCTTACAACCCAGTTTGTATTGTGTATCTAACAGCCCAGTTTGTATTGTGTATCTAACAGCCCAGTTTGTATTGTGTATCTTACAACCCAGTTTGTATTAAGTATCTTACAACCCAGTTTGTATTGTGTATCTTACAACCCAGTTTGTATTGTGTATCTAACAGCCCAGTTTGTATTGTGTATCTTACAACCCAGTTTGTATTGTGTATCTTACAACCCAGTTTGTATTGTGTATCTTACAGCCCAGTTTGTATTGTGTATCTTACAACCCAGTTTGTATTGTGTATCTTACAGCCCAGTTTGTATTGTGTATCTAACAGCCCCGTTTGTATTGTGTATCTTACAACCCAGTTCGTATTGTGTATCTTACAGCCCAGTTCGTAATGTGTATCTTACAGCCCAGTTTGTATTGTGTATCTTACAGCCCAGTTTGTATTGTGTATCTTACAGCCCAGTTTGTATTGTGTATCTTACAGCCCAGTTTGTATTGTGTATCTTACAGCCCAGTTTGTATTGTGTATCTTACAGCCCAATTTGTATTGTGTATCTTACAGCCCCGTTTGTATTGTGTATCTTACAGCCCAGTTTGTATTGTGTATCTTACAGCCCAGTTTGTATTGTGTATCTTACAGCCCAGTTTGTATTGTGTATCTTACAAACCAGTTTGTATTGTGTATCTTACAGCCCAGTTTGTATTGTGTATCTTAGAGCCCAGTTTGTATTGTGTATCTTATAGCCCAGTTTGTATTGTGTATCTTAAAACCCAGTTTGTATTGTATCTTACAACCCAGTTTGTATTGTGTATCTTACAACCCAGTTTGTATTGTGTCTTACAGCGCAGTTTGTATTGTGTATCTTATAACCCAGTTTGTATTGCATATCTTATAACTCAGTTTGTATTGCATATCTTACAACCCAGTTTGTATTGCGTATCTTACAACCCAGTTTGTATTGTGTATCTTACAACCCAGTTTGTATTGCGCATCTTACAACCCAGTTTGTATTGCGCATCTATCAAACTTGCTTGTATTCTGTATCCCACAGCACACACAACCCAGTTTGTCTCTGTGGGCTGGAAGTATCTCAACCACACAGCTGGAGTTGGCTATTTGAAGAATGGAGGCTCCTATGTTGGTCTGGTCAGTCCGACTGGCAATGACCTGACAATTGTCATTGAGACCATGGTAAGAATTCCTCTTCTTCTTAGTTTCACCATCTGTAAACTCTTTAAAGTTTGTAAACTCTGGAAAGTTCTGGTTGTTTGCCTAATTCTGAACTTTAATCTTGTTCAGAACTTGAGTTTTGCCTGCACATTCTTTGTACAGATCTGGTTAATGTATATGCAGATTGTTGGTTCCTTGCCTCTTAGGCAGATGCACTCTGACTTTGAAAGAAACACCTGTAATTAGTTGACTTCTATGACAAGTCTATTAAAGGCATTGGATCTTATCTTCCCTCCCCATGGACAATGAGGCCCTGCACCCCACATGAGGAGTTTCTCTCAGCTGACTAGTTATTGTAGTGCATTTAGTTACTTTTTAACTCTTTATGTCCCAAACAATACTTTGTATCATTTCTCCAGGCCATGCCGGCATAGTGGGTAATGAATATGCAGACAGATTGGCTGGATCTGCACCACTGGGTGGTGAATTGATACATGACAAGGCAGATGTGGTCAAGGTCCTTTGGGAACAAGCAACAGAATCAGCAGAGAAACAAGATTATTATGGCCTGGAGAGAATAAGGCACCTGGGTGTAACCAGAGGGTCTGGCCGGCTCACTATACTCGAGGAAAGGCAAGACGGACATTTAACCAGATTGTGACCTGTACCATCGGTATTGGTGCATTGCGCTGGTTGCTGAAGATCATGGCGGAGCATGCATGGGAATGCCCTAAGTGTTGTGATGTCAATTCTTGACTCAAATCAACTCTGCTTGTGTCCCAAACAGCGCATTGTCTGTGAATGGGTGTTATTCGTGTGTATCAACCAGCACGTTTTAAATATTTTTACATCTTATGTTTCGTTAGGGACTTTGAAGAACTGATGACATGTTTGTTTCCTGAAAGGGTGACATGTTTGGTTCCTGTTGTAGTGCACCAATGAGTTTAATATTGCTATTCAGCATTTAATTAAAGCGCACCTTGTGGGGCTGAAAGAATTAATTAAGATGTGCAACCTGCTGTTTGTACCTAATTCCAAACCCTTTTAAAATAGTTTTTGTTTATTCATTCATTCATTTGTTCTTTATCTGAGTAAATCCTTTTATATATAAATTAATCTTTCTTTCAGACTCATGACCACTCACAATGTATCAGGCCCGGCTTACCATGGTACACCGTTTCACCCCAGAATGTGTCCTTGAACCTTAAAGGTCACTTTGTAAGTATCTACTTTGGTCAAAGATCATCTTGTTTTTCCTCAGTGTAATTTTAGTTTGCTGTTATCTGCTGATTCATCAAATCTAGGCTTTTTAAAGACACAAAATCTTGGTCACATTTTATGGTTTGTACCTAAAATATTTTTTTTAGATCTTGTTCTGTTGTGTCCAGTCATCATCATCATGTAGCAGAATGTCGCTCTCATTACGGTCTGCCTGTAAGAAACTCGGTCTCTTGCCAGCTCTCCCACCTCAAGGAGTCACTTATATCCTGTGCCCATCTTCATGTTGGTCGGCCCCTGCCTCTCCTTCCTGGCACCACACCTTCTGCTATTATCTTGTTCAGTCTGTCGTTACGCTTGTTATGATCAAAATATTTCAGCTTCTGAGATAGGATACTGTTTATTAGTCAATCTTTCTTGATGTTCAGATCTTTTAAGATGTCAATATTTCTCCTCTTCTCTGTCTGAGAATCTTTCTATAGCATTTCAGCTCAAAAGCCCCTATTCTCTTTAAGGACTGGGAGACCGTATGTTGCCACAGGAAAGATGCAACTCTAAAAATTCTAATTTTGATTTTCTTGCTGCTGCTTAACCATAGACTTTTAATGCTGTTTGTTTAGTCCAGTAGTATTCTTTATTTTAAGTGAGGATTTCATCTGTTATTTTGGTGTGTTTTTTTGCTGTCTGTTTTTATTTCCTGTCTTGTTCTAATTGTTGTGGCTTGTTCTCTTCTCCTCTCTTGTTTTTATCCCCTTGCATTTCTTGCCTTCATTCCTGTCCTTATTGCCAACTGCTTTGTGATTATTTTTGTTATGATGGGTTTGCTCTTAATCACATCTTGCTTTTTATCGTAATCTTATGCCTTACCACATACTGTATTTCTCTGTCACATATTCTGTTTCTTTATCACATAGTATTCCTCTTTATCACATATTATTCCTCTTTATCACATAGTATTGCTTTTTATCACATATTATTGCTCATTCTTTTACTTATCACAGTACTTGTATTTATGACCTACAGTTTATATATTTATCACTTAGAATGTGCTTCTGTCTCAAGTCTATCATATCACAAACTGACCATCACTGTCTATGAACACAACTATCTGAGAAAATCAGTAAACACATAATGTCTGTCCGTCAATGTTTTAGTCCAAGATTACCAAGCTGAACCTCTGGTACAGTCAGCTGTCATTCGATGGTAAACTCAGCAACATGTTCACAAGCATGGGCCCTGTTCAGGTAAGTCTGAATTCTTTCTTCTTGTTCACCTGTGTACATTTTGGTGGTTGGTCTGTGTCTTTTTAGCTGAGTTGCAAGTATGAAATGTGTAAATTAGAAATATATCTCGCATATGTAATGCAGAGTGAAATATATCATGTATGTAAAGAAAACATGTATCACATCTTAAAGTAGATTTTTAAGTAAATTTGTCAGAAATATATTGCATAAAACTAAAATATATTATAATGTAAAGTAGACATATAATTATATATATATCACATATGTAAAGTAGGCAGAAATGTATCATGTATGTAAAGTAGGCAAAAATGTATCACATATATAAAAAAGGGCAGATTGTATCACAAATATAAAGAAGGCAGAAATTTAACACACATGTAAAGAAGGCAGAAAAGTATGACACATGCAAATTAGGCAGAAATGTATCACATATGTAAAGTAGGCAGAAATGTATCACATATATAAAGAAGGCAAGAAATGTATCACATATATAAAGAAGGCAAGAAATGTATCACATATGTAAAGAAGGCAGAAAAGTATGACACATGCAAAGTTGGCAGAAATGTATCACATATGCAAAGTTGACAGAAATGTATCACATATGTAAAGTAGGCAGAAATGTATCACATATGTAAAGTAGGCAGAAATGTATCACATATGTAAAGTAGGCAGAAATGTATCACATATGTAAAGTAGGCAGAAATGTATCACATATATAAAGTAGGCAGAAATGTATCACAAATCTACAGTGGGTGAGAATTTTACCAGTGTGATGAATCTTCTCTCAGGTGGTCAATGGCATGGTAAACCTCACTTTGGGACTGGACCAGATTTACACACTGACCACACTCTCTGGAGGTCACAAGGGCTCTCATCCCACTCCGCCATCTTCTCATCCATTCCCTCTTCCTTACTTTGATGACTTTGAAGGTAAAACTATATTCCTTATAAATCTGGTAATATTTTTAATGTCATATTTGAATTCTTAATACTGTACATTAAATCTTGTCAATTCCAGGTTTTGCAACATCTCATATTTAGACTTGATTTATTATTCTTTATCACCATCAGTCTTCTTCTATATCGTAGACAGTTGTCATTTTCATTGACAGTCTTCTTCTTTTTTGCTGACAGTTTTCTTCTTTATCACTGACATTCTTCTTCTTTATCACTGACATTCTTCTTCTTTAATATTGACAGTTCTCTTCCTTATGGAAGCAGAACATTTTAAATAAAGAAGCAGAACAGTTTTAATAGAGTTCAGTCAGCATCTGTGGCTAAGACGTTGTGGATGCAGTTTGTAATTATGATGTGCTAAGTTTGATTCCAGCTCTGGGTGATTTGGCAACAAACAGCCTAGAGTTGGTTTTGACACTGGTATCAAGAACCGACCATTGAGAAAGCCGGCAAACTAGTAAATGTAAAATTGCCTAGTTGAACCACAAACAGCAAAAAAAAACTTGTAATGTTGGTTCTGCAACGTACGGTAAACGATACAGAACAAATATTTTTTTTTAAATAGAGTGAACAGTTTTTCGGCAGTTATTGAAATCTCTGAAAACTATCAGTCTGTTTAGGTCCTTTGTTGAATAGGGCTCTTATCATGATATTCCAGAGAGCCACTTGGTTCTGAGTGCGATTTTTTCATAAAATAACAAGGATTCTCATTGGAACTACATAGATGCTCTGTTTTAAACTTTTCGTTTTCACTGACCATAAATTTTGTATTTGCTTTGTTTTAGGTAACAATCTGTATAATGAACCCAACAACCTAGCCCAGCAAACCGGATCCTTCGAGGTGCTTAGCAATGGAAGCAACAAGTTCATCCGACAGATGGTGATGGAATGGCCACTGAGCTGGTGTGGTGCAGAGTCAGTCGGCAAAGCTGTCACCGTTATCGGAGATAGCACATGGTGAGATAATATTTATGTTGTTGGAAATGTCATTTGACATGTGAATATGCCAGCATCAGCATGTCTTTATACCAGCTGAAATGACATTGCCTAAATCTAGATATTCCCTAATATAAATACATAACGAAGTGAAAGATATTCGACGAGAATCTGGATCAAAATCTGGATAATCCACTAGTATAAATTATATTACCAAAATTTAGATATACCACAACTATAAATTGCATCCTAATCTAGGTATTCCACAAGTATAAATGGCATTGCCCAAATCTAGTTTTTTCCACTATTTTAAAACACATTGCTCAACATTAGATATTCCACTGTGCTTTTGCCCAAATTTAGATATGCCAGTTGCATAAATGACATTGTTCAAGTCTAGAAATTCTACTAATATGAACTACTTTGCAAATTTTGAAATTCGATTAGTATAAATTACATTGCCCATGACTAGAAATTATACTATCCAAAATGACATTTCCCAAATCTTAAATATCTTTTTCTTCTTCTTCTTCACTTCCTCTTTTACCGCTGTGGGTGTCGAGGGAGATACAAGGTTCTGTTTCTGGCTCTTCTGACCGCCTCGACCATAGGCACATTGTGCTGTTGTAGAGCTTCTCTGATGTTATCCTTCCATCTTGTTCTTGGTCTACCTCTTGCTCTACGACCTTCTTCTATTTCCATGTATGCTTTGTATGATATGGTGTCACAAGGCATTCTCTCTAAGTGGGCAAACCATTTCACTTGCTGTCTTTGTATGTAATTTAGAATTGGTTCTGTGTCGACTTTTTCTCTAATGATTTCATTCCTGATCTTATCTCTTATGGTCACTCCTACAGCACTTCTCAGACATCTCATTTCCATGCTTACTAATTTTCTTTTATGGTTTGTTGTGAGTGACCATGTCTGGCACTGGTAGCACAGAGTTGGAATAAATATGCAAATTTTTTCTCTGAAATTTTGCTCAGCACTCTGTGAGAACTAAGAGCCCCTGAGTGTTAAACTAACCCAGAAACTCATCATAACTTTAGAATTTGTTAGGAAATTGAACAAACTTTAAAATTTTGTTCTCAAATTTGGATATTCACTACTCTTGTGGCTGCAAAATCATGGTAAGTGTAGAATTTGTAAAATGTTGTTGTTGTGAAATTAACACCTGCTGAATGCCTCTTTCCTACTAACCATAAAAAAAATTAAACATGCACTTATCATCAGATATAAAATGTACATTAATTTATCTTTTAAAAAAATATATACTTTTATAGGGGTTAGAAATATATTACATTCTCTATTGCCTTTCTTGTACGCCACCCCCTTTGCCATTTTTGTAAAGGTAAATTAATGTGGGCCAAGTCTGTCAAAATTCATGGGCCTGAAAGAGTTGAAGCTGGGCTGATCTGGGACCTATGGTCTATTTTGAAAAACAAATCCATCTAGGTGTAGATTTGAGCCCAGGGCCTTTGGACTGGCTAGCCAAGCATCTTGCATGCTGTGCTGCAAAACTCCAAGTTCATGACCTTCCTCAAAATCCTTGACCTATCAAAACCCTTCCCACTGACATTCGACCTTGCTTGTGTCTTCTACAGGGATGACTTGTTCATCGAAATTGACTTCCAGTTCCCGACCGTGAATGCCTCAAACGGCATCTTTGTTGCTGCCAGGATTAATCAAGCTGGTTGTGAGATGGATCATTCTCAAGGAGTTTTCTTTTTCATCACGTCAGACAATAAGTACTCCCTGACCAGAGATTCACGTAGGTGTTTTTGTCTCACTAGTGTATGTCAGACAATAAGTACTCCCTGACCAGAGATTCACGTAGGTGTTTTGTTTGGCTGGTTTATGTTGATCATTGTGTTATTAGAGGTGGTTTAAAGGACATTTGTGCTGGCTGAGAGAACATTTATGGTTGTTGAGAGGACATTCATGGTTGTTGAGAGGACATTCATGGTTGTTGAGAGGACATTTATGATAACTGAGAGGACATCTGTGGTGGGTGAGAAGACATTTGTAATGACTGAAAGGACAATTGTGGTGATTGAAAGGACATTCATGGTGGGTAAGAGAACATTTGTGGAAATGGAGAGGACATCTGTGGTTGTTGACAGTGCATGGTTAGCAGGACATCTGGAGTGATGGACAGGATAGCCCTGATCCACCAGTGGACCATTCTCTACCAATCAATTTACATCTCTAGAATTTCCTACTTGAGATTTCTCAGCTTTCTTCAGTCTCCACTTTACAGCTCCATGGTGAAGTGGGCAAGCCATTTACCTCATCTTTTGAAGGCTGTGGGCTCATTTAATGACTGCACCATTCTGTTAACACGTGCATTTTTAATGTAGATCTCTAGGATTCATCAACAGAGCTACAAAGTGTGTGCTTCATGTGACACTATTGGTAGAAAGGCAAGCCATTTTGCGTAGAGAGACCAAACCACATGGGATCAACGGCAGTGCAATAAATCTGATTCTCTCACCTTTACTCTCTCACCTTTACTCTCTCACCTTTACTCTCTAACCTTTACTCTCTAACCTTTACTCTCTAACCTTTACTCTCTAACCCATAATTCTTACAGCTGATCAAACCCTGCCTTCTCTTCTCGAAACAGTGCCCTACATTAATGCTATTTTTTAGCCACTGTAGTATTTCTTTACAGGTCAAAGTATTTCAGTTTCTGAGACATGAGCCAGCTGTTCTCCTGAAAATTCAAATTTTACAGAATGTCAGTATTTTATTGTTTTCTTGATCCATGCTTTTCTAAGCATTTTTCTGTTTTTCAATTTTGTTTCATCCATGGTTTCTTAGAATTGTTATGTTTTTTAAGTTTGTTTCATCCATGATATTCTAAGAATTTTTCTGTTTTCTAAGCATGTTTCTTTCTTTAGAGATTACTAAATGTTCTGTATATCACATTCATGTGTACACATTATGTGTGAGTGTGTGTGTGTGTGTGCTTGTCTCTGTGTGGTGTGGTGTGTATGTGTAGGCAGGAGGGAGAGATGTTGAGACAAAGAAGTCAGAGACCATAAACTGTCTGTCTTGAATGGGTGTTGAGGGCAAGCGGGCACAAACTGGTTGAGAGGCACAGAAGATATTCCAATCAACTTCTGCTGGGTACAGTGAGCATGTCGACACTGAGATGCCTGTTGCATCCAAGGACGGATAGGTAGGACCAGTGTACTATGATGTGGATATGGATCACTAGACAAAAATAGTATGCTATAGGATATATATTATCATCATCATCATCATTTATGTAATATGTGTCACATAGGGCTCGCATTCTAAGCCTCCATTCCATTCTGACCTTACAATGATTTCATTACCATAGATAGAACTTGTCCAGCATTTTTGGCCTCTCTCACCAATGTTCGTTTTAAGTTTTCTGTCAAACTTGTTTCATCAATCCATTTGTTTCCCATTTCACTACCTATTTAGTGATCCTCACCTCAATTCTTCCCAGGATGTCCCAAATATAACGCCATCTTCATTGCATTATAACTTGTTACCAGCAGTTGTCCATACATCTCTAGGTTTTCTTCATCTTTTCGGATTTCATCCCATCTATTTCCTCAGATGTTTTTTTTTTTTTTAAGCTTTTAATTTTTGTTCCATGTTTTTAATGGTTCTCCACTTTTCTTTGGCATATATTAAAATTAAAATAATAGAATTGAAAATATGTAATATACTTACATTACTGCATATTTACATATTTATTGAAAATTTCCTAACAGGTGCAACTGATGAAGTTACTTCAGGCAACCTGCCTTCTCCTGCCCACACCGGATGGCACAAGATATCCCTTTATGTTCAGGTAATACTCGGAAACCAGATTTATTCATCTGTTAAAGATCAAATTAGTTCCTAGCTCATACTTTCATCAGGGCTTCAGTTCTTCTTGTAGTCCATGCCATGTGGCGTTGGTAGTCATGTCTATCCACAACCTTCTGTCCTGTACTTTCAATCAGTTCTGACACAATAATCTTCCATGCCATCATGTCAAACAGTCTACTATTTCTCTCTTGGTCTCTCTCTGCCCCTTTTTCCCTCCAACTTTCACATCATCACGATCTACTCCAATATTCTCTCCCAAAGCTCTACATTAATTATTCTATCATAGCATTTAATTCCCTCTGTTCTGTGCAGGTACTGATTAATGAATAATTGTAGTTCACTGGTAATTATTTTAGTTGTTCTCAATGTTCCTCTTTATACAGCAACAGAACTGATTTGATATTAGAGCTAATTAAATTCTACGTGAAAAGCATCTTATACTGATTTGACAATTTGTAGTTATCGCTCATTTTTATGGTTTACTTTCTCCTGTACTTTTAGGGAAGCAAAGCTTATGGAGCCTTTGATAAACGAGACCTTTTTGCTGTTGACCTGAACGTCCACGGAAGCCCGGTGCCAGGATTTGCTGGAATCGGCACCTACAACTATGGCCTAGCTGACTTTGACAACTTGCACATTGCCCTAACTCCACAGGGTGCACATCAGAGAAAGATCTTCCGCAAGCCATCATCCAATCCACTTTTTTTCATCAAGGAACACTAATGCTCATGAACTATTTTTATAATATTTTATAACTCAGAATTATTTACTTTTACAGTTTTTGTTACTGTTAACATAAAATTGTTGTATTCTTCTTGTGTGTATAAAAATTGTAGGTTGTCAGCACAAGAGACACTTCATGGTGCTGAAGTATGATTGGTTTTTGGGTGGGGGAAAAAAAAGCTTGGACTGAAGAGAAAATTGTCTTTCAAGAAAATTATTGTGTGATTGATATTAAATACCTGTTGTATAAATATACCTTTGCATTTATAGTTTTCTATTTTCTCATAAAATGCAAAATTATCATACATTAAAAATGTAATAGTGATCGGTCTATTCATGTGTCAGTGTTTTTCCTATTGTTAGAGCAATTTTACCTACTCATGTTTATTTGGGGTGGTGGTGAAAGAGGGTCGGGAGGGTGTCGGGAGGTAAATATTAACGCTTTCTGATTTGAAAACATGTATGTTCCTGTTTACTGCATACATTTCTTATTTGTTTCAAAAAACAAACAACTGATTTAAAGTAATCAGTGTTTTATTTAGTCTTGTTGATCTGGATTTCCAGGTAATTGTTCTTCTTCTTCTTCTTTTCCACCTTATACCTCAGTGAAGTGTTGGTGGAGATGTAACGTTCGTTGATTAACTCTGTCAAGAACACTGTTAAGATTGATGTTCATTTCTGTAAGGCTGCTATCCTATTTTCCGAGGTCTTCCGCTCGCTCTATACTTAATGTCACGTTTTAGTGTGGCTCGCTGTGGCAGATAGTACCAGGGCATTCTTGTTAGGTGTCAAAACCACTTCACTTGTTGTTCTTTGATGACCTGTAAGACTGGCTTTATTCCTAGCATTCGTCTGATTTTGTATTATTTTTCCTTGAAACTCCTGCAGCTCTTCTGAGGCATTTCATCCCTGTTGTCACAATTTTATGTTCATTAGAAGATGTAAGTGTCCACGTTTGCCACTGATAGCATAGTATTGGCCCAAAAAAAGTTCTGATAAGATTCACTTTAGCCCTCCGGGATATCTGCTTGTGTGTCAACAGGGAAGATAGCTCCCATTACTTGATAAGATTTGGCACATCAAGGTCATTAATTTTTTTAAATGTGACTTTTATTTGGCTATCAGGAAAACCATGAAATCTTAATAATAAACTGTCTTTGGAGTCAGAGCACACAGTACACAGTATCTCCAGCCACAAACCACTTTGTCCCCTTCCACCACCTATCTTTTTCCTTCCATTGTATTCTGCTGGCTTTCCTCTGAACATAAAAAAAAAATTGCCTTGTTAACACCATCCTATTTTGGAAACTGAAATACTATGTATGGCCATATCAAATGAAGCGACAGATTAGACAGAAGAGTGGCAAAGGGCATAGTGCTGGGTAAGAGGAATCGTGGCTGACCAGCATGAAGATGAATGCAGGACATAAGACACTTTGGGCAGGAAAGTGTATCAGACAGGAGATCTGCCGAGAGAATGAGTTTCTTTCAGGCAGGTTGTGATAAGAGCAGCATTCCTTGATGAGAGCCGCGATCTAGTGGAGCATAGATACTCGGCCATTTGAGGCCCAACCTTTTCTAACTAAAGGTTTTTTATTTGTTAGATTTTGCAGCTAAATTTCTCTATCTGATGAGGTTGCCTGGCTCGTTAGTGTAGTTGGTTAAACCTGTCTTCGTGGCGACCGGGTGACGAACTCCTTGTGGTCCGGGTTCATGCCTGGGAGTAGGCAGAAAAGCCACATTTTCTCCAAGATTTACAGTATCTATCATGGAATCAAAGCCGAACGGTTGCAATATCCATAGTACAGAGCCTAAGGGTTAACAACTCATGGTTTCTGGATACTTGAAAATTTTTTTTAATGTGGTAGCAGGGTTCATTCAATTCCTCCCTAGTTGTCTGTGAGGACTTAAATGACGGCGATACTATTGTTTACTGCCCTTGTAGATTCAGGACAATGGTTGGAAATGGCTAATGAAAGTACAACATTATATACAACAATGAGAAAGACACAAAGTTCTTCAATCATGTGGTAAGAAAAGGAGCACTGGAGAATATCGAGACCTCTGGAAAAATCACTGGCAGAAAAGGCAGAGGCAGACCAAGAGAAATGATGATTGATGGCTTAAGAGGACTTCATCAGTGGAATTGATCCAGAAAACTAAGGACCGAGATCTGTGGAGGTGCATGAACGCCTACGCCAGCTGACAAGGCACTTGATGATGATTAGAATCAGTTAACAGATGGTGCTAATATATAAAAAATTTTATTGCTTTATAAATATAAGAACAATAAAAAATGAGTGGTAAACATCGATAACTAATGAAGTGTGCATTTATTCCTCTTGTTTTTTTCACTTCCTCTTTGACCGCTTCTGATGTTGGGGGCGATATAAGGTTCTGCTTCTTGTTGCTCTGCTGGCCCTTGATCCTGGATATATTGTGCAGTTATAGAGTTTCTCTCATGCTATCTTTTCACCATGTCCTTTGTCTACCTCATGATCTATATGCTCTATCTATTGATTAGCACACAGAAAGAAGAACACTCCGCACGATCTTATTTTGTGAGTCTCATGGAAAAAGAAGTAGAACATAAAACACATTTGAATTTAATATGTGGTGAACACAGTGGTTCCTCTCTTTTTAGCTTTTCTATTTTCCAAGTGTGTGTACCATAATACATATTAGTTTTGAGCTGCTAAATGTAAACAAAGGAAAATTTTAAACACTTTTTTTCATGATTTAAGTAGGGACCACACAAATGTTCAGCTATATGTACATATTCAACAATCAGTCAGTCGAAGCTATGTGTAAACAATCAACAATCAGTCAGTCAAAGCTGTGTACAAAACAATCAACAATCAGTCAGTCAAAGCTGTGTACAAAACAATCAGTCAGTCAAAGCTATGTGTACACAATCAACAACCAGTCAGTCAGAGCTATGTGTACACAATCAACAATCAGTCAGTCAAAGCTATGTGTACACAATCAACAACCAGTCAGTCAAAGCTATGTGTAAACAATCAACAATCAGTCAGTCAAAGCTATGTGTACACAATCAACAATCAGTCAGTCAAAGCTATATGTACACAATCAACAACCAGTCAGTCAAAGCTGTGTGTACACAATCAACAATCAGTCAGTCAATCAACATGTCCTTTACAGAACATTGCTCTCTTTAAAGCAGACCTTAAAGTCTCTCTTTCTCCAGCCCTATGTGCTTTCATAGCCAATGTGTCTTTAATGTCCTCTATCTACGTTCATGGAGGTTGGCCTCTGTCTTGTTTTCTGGGAACTTCACCCTCCACCGTTCTCTCCAGACCACCATAACACTTGACATGTCCAAAATATCTCAACTTTTGAGAGAGGGTGCTGTTTACGAGCCAGTTCTCTGAGATGTTTTTCTTCTTCTTGATCCTCAGTATTCTATGAATGAATTTTTAGCACTACAGATACAAAGTTCCGATTTTTTTCTTCAAAGACTCAGTGAGAGTCAAAGACTCACATCCTTAAGCTGCCATAGGCAGGATGCATGATCTCAAAGTTTTTACTTTAACTTGCTTGCAGATGCTATGCTAAAGGTTCTTCATGCCATTTATCCTCTGCATTGCTAAAGTGAGTCCTTTTCTTACCTCTTTTGTGCAGTCTACATTGTTGTTTATCACTGAGCCTAAATATTTAAAATCTGTGACATTTTCAATCTCTTAGTTGTCAGTTTTGATATGTGGGTGGTATGCTTCATTCATAGTGGAAATTTTTTTTTTATAGTTAGGTTCTGTTTTTCACAGTGCTTTCTGACAATCAAAATTAATTCTTCTAAGCCTTGTATATTGTTGGAAAGGGGAACTACACAATGAACAACAAATTAAATTACTTGGTTATGTAGTATAATTATCATAGGGCAGTATCCCTCCAGAGAATCTTGGCATTTCAGCACAAGTAGTAGTAGTAATTCAGACAAGAATATCCTGCTCAACCCATTAGGGTTATAAATGGTGATGTATATGGGGCTGCATGGTCTCAAGGCATGGTATCCGCCTCAAGTGCTAGAAGTTCCGGGCTCGATTCCCACCAAGGGCTGGGATTTTTTCATGTGGACTTGAAATTCTAGTAATTCCCCCTGGTCTCTGGGTAGTGAGACAGGACGCCCATGTGCATTGTTGCGCATGTAAAAAATCCCTTGGTAGTTGGAAATTGAAAAGAGTAGCCTAACGGCACTGTCCGGTCACAATTTTGAGTTAAAAATCTACCCAAAGTATTTCAGGATCCTCACCGGTGCTACAGAGCCTGTGCACAGTGCTGATTTTCTTTGGACTCAGGCTTGAGTTAAAAGAAGAACGGAGCACTTATGGGATACTATCCGTGTGCCATGATGTTGATCCGCTGTTCAAAACCTCAAACCTTTGGGATGTATAGTGGATATTTATGCTTGTCAATTACTTTTGGGAATTTAGTATTTCCAAGATTATGTATTAATGGTAACAGACTGCCAGAACATAGAGAGATAAATTCAATATATGTTATGTGATTTAGAAAAGGATGAACAGAAAGGCAACTGCAGGAGATCCCCTCCCTGGCACCGCTCATTCCCTGTCCTCACTGTCCAAGAACTTTTTGGGCCCGCATCGGCCTCATCAGTCATCTTTGTACTCAAACTTGATGAAACAGAGTGGTCATCATCATCTTGATGGACAACACACACACACATGTTATGTGTACTTACTAAATAATTGTGATAATCATACTACCATACAAAGCATACATGAAAAGAGAAGAAGGACATAGAGCACAGGGTAGACCAAGAACAAGATGGAAGGATAACATCAGAGAAACTCTACAACAGCACGATGTGCCTATGGTCGAGGCAGCCAGAAAAGCTAGAAACAGAACCTTATATCTCTCTCGACACCCACAGCGGTAAAAGAGGAAGTGAAGAAGAAGAAGAAGAAGAAGAAGAAGAAGATACTACTATAGTTTATACAATGATAAGTTATGAAAGAATCTCATGTGTCCCTTTTGTCTCTGTCCTCAAGTGGTAAGCCAGGTGTGCCCAACAAAAACAATGGAGAGCTTCACATGGATATATCTGAAGACTACATAAAATTTAAAGTCTGTCATGTTCATCAGAGATAAAAACAGATGGACATATTCAACAGAGCCATATTTAGGGAAGCAGTCCATGATTGCTTACAAGTATAAGCCAATAGTGTCCATCAAAAACAAAACCGGATGGTCCTGGACAAAACCGGATGGTCCTGGACAAAACCGGATGGTCTTGGACAAAACTGTGTTAACAAAATCGCATACTCTGCCTGACTTGCCAGTTTACCCTTTCATAGTTCTTGTATATTGTTCTTTTATGGACCTTCTTAATATTTTGCCACTTGCATTGCGAGGAATTTCGTCGATAAACTGAACGCCACCATGCAGCCTTTTGGAAGGAGCCATCTTGTCTGAAAGCGTAAATACAGAAGCTCTATTTAATACAGAAAGATTACACACATGCACATATATGTGCTTACACACGTGCACACTTACACGCCTACACACAACAGCCCCAGAAAGAGCTTCAGTACTTAACATAAATTGAGCAAAATGTTGCCTCAAAAAAAGATATATTTGACTGTGTATCCTTTACAGGACATTGCAGAACCAACTCCAACTTTTTTGATTCTAGTGGTTTTTCTAGGCAAATTTTACGTTCAGTAGTTTGCCATTGCTACTGAACGGTCAGCTCTCGGTACCACTGTTGAAACCAACGCAAGACAAATGTAGTCCACAGCTGGAATCGAACCCGGCACTCCAGCATTACACAGCGCGTTCGCAACGCCTAAGCCACAGACGCCCCCAGAACTACACAAAAGACAACACTGACTAAATACGCAAGCATGCACACACACACACACTGCACACACTTTAGATCTTCTATAGTTAAGGTTAACCTACTCCTCTCATAAAATTTACCAAAAGCTTTTAATGCGTACCCTTAGTAAAATGGAATATAGATTCAAACGCGTATTTTTATACCATTCGCAGACATTGTCGAACGTGCAACTTTCACTCTATTCACAAAATGTTGAATGTTGAATTAAGAATCGACATCACAACACTCAGGACACTCCTATAATTGCTCAGTCTATGTTCAGCAGCAAGTGAAGAGTTCCAATTCCAATGGTACCAGTAACCGTCTGATTGTATATTCGTCTCATCCTTCCCCTGAGTGTTGAGCAACGGCTAGATCCCCTGGTAACTCCTCGCGGCGCCATTTTCCTCAGACCATAAGGATTTATCTGCGCCTCCGCACTGTTCACTTGCTCCCAAAGGGCCCTCACAATCTATAACTTGTCATACATCAATTCACTACCAAGTGGTGCAGAGCCTGCCAGTCTTATCTACCCTCTCGTTTCCCAACACACCGGCATAACCTGGAGAAAATATCCAAAGGATGCTAACTACCCAGGACCTCTGAAGTGATGCTTGCTCATGCTATTCTCAGAGGCCATCCAACGCGCACCTTCCATACAATTCACAGACTTAAACAGCAGCGAACTCGCACCTTTTAAAAAATTCACAGATATTATCAAACGCGTACCTTTCATAAAATCTACAATGTCCTTTTCTGTGACTTTTACACCAAGCTTCTTGACTACAAAGGCCCTGGGTAACTCCCCAGCCCTCTCGTCTGGTACACCAATAACGGCCGCGTCAGCAACTCCAGGGTGCTCGAGCAGTACAGACTCCAGCTCAGCAGGCGGTACCTAGGGGATTTTATGTTTGAGCATGTGAAAGTGTGTAAACACAGAACAGTATCATCAACAAAAATCTGGATCTATATGTGTGTTCTCCGCCCACTCAATACCAGTGTTTCCAACACAATATTAAACGTATAGCTTGAATCAGGACTATTTAACTGGTGGCCCATGCGTCAAATATGGCTCGTGAAGACCTAGCAAGTGGCCTGCAGATCATTGCTGGTTGAATTGTATTAATAATCTTTGTGGGCCTCTGGCCCATGACGATATCCATTTTCAAAATGGGTGCTCCTGAATAAAATTAGTTTTAAAAAAATATTGATTTAAACCATCACCCGTTTGCACTGCCCACTCTGAACATTCATACATTACCTTCATAATATTTGCATCACAAAATAATAGTAAATACTGCTTTTTTAACTTTGCACACACTCATTTGCCATATATCTTAACAAATTATTTATTTATTTATTTATTTATTATGATTGTTATTATTATTAAACCATGTTACCAATAATGAGACTGTACTGCGTAGCTTCAATATGTATCCAATAGGAGAACTCCAACCACTCGTCGACTGCAAATGTAGGAACAACTGCTGTGTTTGTACCAGAGCCATATTTTGGCTACCACAATGAACCATATTCTTAGAAATATATTTATTTGAGTGCACAAGCATACCTGAGAGCCTTTATACTTGATGAGTTCTTTGATGCGGTCGCAGATGTAGACATTGCCGTCTTCTGTGTAGTAGCCGATATCACCTGAGGAAGAAAAGCTGTATATCAGTCGTGATCCTCGCTCTTCTTACTTATTGTTATCCCTAGCGACATCTGAGCACATTGGTCTGACCCATTCACGCTCTCTCTCTCTCTCTCTCTCTCTCTCTCTCTCTCTCTCTCTCTCTCTCTCTCTCTCTCTCTCTCTCTCTCTATCTATCTCTCTCTCTCTCTCTCTCTCTCTCTCTCTCTCTCTCTCCTTCGATCCAGCAGTCATCTCAGTGCCTTCTTGCCCAACGTACCCAGTAGGAGTTGACTGGCACATCTTCTTTTGCTTGTTTTGCTTGCAACCAGTTTCTTCATGTTTGTCCTCATTGAATACTCATTCTCAATACTCTAATACAGTGATTCCCAAACTATGCGCCGGGGATCCGCGACCTCTTCACAGGGGCGCCGCGAAATGTTCGAAGATACATTATTGTTTTTTTTTTTATCTTTTACATACGAATAGTCATACTTTCACTTAGGTTAGGTCGCCGTGGAAACATTTAAATTGAAAAAGGCGTCGCGACTTTGACAAGTTTGGGAAACATTACTCTAGTATACAGAAATAAACAGACGGGGAACCTTTGAGGCGCTAGAATTTATATATATATATATATATATATATATATATATATATATATATATATATATATATATATATATATATATATATATATACAGACATGTACTGATCCGCTTTTATATTCTCTCTTCTTCTTCTTCGTTCACCGGCTGTGAATTCCGGCGGAAGGTCAGGGTTAATCGTCCGCTTGGACTTTTAGCTTTTACCTGGACCTGAGTTTTGCGTTTTTATATAAAGAAGCAGAATGATGGAAAAACATAACAGACAGCATAAACATCAAGAGCTATAGTTGCCATACCAGTAATCGAACCTGTCATCTTCAAACGACGACAACACCTCGCTGCAGAAACAAGTGTACTAAGCAGCACGACCCGCTTAGACAAAATGTCTTCCTTAGCCTCAGTGGGGATTTCAATACAGGGCCACAACGCCAACATTTAAACATGCTAGCAACTCCACCAGCTTCGATCAGTCAGTTTATCCCCTCTGGTCTGCTAGCTCAAGATTTACAACACAATCCTCAGATTAAATCATCTGGGAGGTAGACCAATAAGACAGCTCCCAAATACCCAATTGATCCCAGATACCCAATTGATCCCAAATACCCAATTGATCCCATATACCCAATTGATCCCAGATACCCAATTGATCCCAAATACCCAATTGATCCCAGATACCCAATTGATCCCAGATACCCAATTGATCCCATATACCCAATTGATCCCAGATACCCAATTGATCCCATATACCCAATTGATCTCAGATACCCAATTGATCTCAGATACCCAATTGATCCCAGATACTAGGGCTGTACAGAATAGTGATTTTCACTATTCGGCCGAATACAAATAGCGGGATTAACTATTCGGCCGAATATAAATAGCGGTACCAACTATTCGGCCGAATACAAATAGCGGGACCAACTATTCGGCCGAATACGAATAGTGAATAGTGTATAAAATATATCTAAACAAAACACACTCACACATTTATAACGCCAAAGGTACGCTGAACATCTACTTCACATAAAGTACCACAGAATAGTCATCTTCTTCTTTAGCATTCTGAGCCCTTGAGGTTTCCTGTTGCAGATATCACTCGTCTCCATTCATCTCTCTGGCTGGCCTTCTCTTCACAATTTGTGACATCAGTTGTTTGCAGGTCTGGCTGGACATTCTCTCGAACTTCTTTTTTTGTCTGCCTCGTGGTCTACGCCCATTCCTCTCTCAGGTGTAGACAGTTTTTACTTCTCTGTCAACTGACATTCTTTCAATATGCCCTAACCATTTTAGTCTATTAGCTCTCATGATGCCAGTGATCAATGGTGATTTAAACAGATTGTGAGTTACGTTGTTGCTTCTCACTCTCCATTCCACGCTGTTAGCATATTTGATGGGTCCAAAGATTTGTCGTAAGACTGTTTCGAAAACCTGTAATAAGGCCTGATCTCTTTGATTTCTGCTTCAAGTTTCAGAGCCATATAAAACGACTGGTCTCATCAACGTTTTATACATTTCAAGACAGACACTTTGAATTTAGAACATGTTGAAGGGCATAGTATACTTTATTTCTAGACTGTATTCTAGATTGTATTTCTTCTCTTAGCATGTTGGAGCAGTTGAAGTTTGCACCCAAGTACTTATATGTTCCCGTTCGTTTGATTTTTATATTATCGACTTGTATGTGGCCGGAGTTTATATTCTTTCCATGTCTAGTTAGTATTCGTACAGAATAGTAAACATTTAAAAACATTTTATGTTCTGCATCCTTCAGACAATCTGTGGTAACTAATAACTAGGATTGAAAGATTCCTAAGTATTATAACAAGTAACTAAACTTGGAAATTGTCACTGACAGCTTAGTTAATGCAGGAAAGCTGCATTAGCTTTCAACAAAACCAATCGTTCCATGTTGTCAGCATTAAGCCGTGTATGCAGAAGCGGGTATAATGTAACTACTATTCGTATTCAGCCCGACCGCAACTATTCGGCCGAATAGTCAATAGGTCCACTATTCGGCCCCGAAGCGAATACGAAGCGAATATTCGGTACAGCCCTACCAGATACTCAATTGATCCCAGATGCCCAGTTAATCCCAGATACCCAATTGATCCCAGATACTCAATTGATCCCACATACCCATTTGATTCCAGATACCCAATTCAAACTCCAAAGAAGTTATAATTAGGACACTTGTAACAGCATGTGTAACCTGCAGTTCTGTTTAGTAAGGACTACCGTTACTTTACATTTAACCTTAGGTGTTGAGGTTTCCATCAACGGTTTCCAACGGATCAACATCATGGCACATGGGTAGTAACCCAAAAGTGCTCTATATGTGCTGATGAAGGCTAATCGCCGCAACGTCCTTTGTTTGTTTATTGTGATCGATTTTGTAAAGCTAACATAAACAAATTGTTGTTTCTTACCAACTTTTTCTCTTCCCTATAAATTTCTACTCCTTATAAAAACTTCATTCTTCTAACTCACGTCTGAGTCTGAAGAAACTCAGCACAGTGCATAGGTCTGAAGCATCGGCGAGTTTCCTGAAATACTTTGGGTAGATTTTTTAACTCAAAATTTTGCCCGGGCACTGCCGTTAGGCTACTCATTTCCATTTCCAACTGCCAAGGGATTTTTTTTTTACGTGCGCAACAATGCACACGCGTCCGATCTTACCACCCAGAGACCAGGGGGAATTACTAGAAGTCTAAGTCCAAGTGAAAAATTCCCATACTTTACCGGGGATTGAACCCGAAATCTCTTGCACTCGAGGCGGACACCATGAATCGAGAGCATGCAGCCCCCTAAAATTTCACCCGAAGACATACAAAATACCTGTGTGTAGCCATCCGTCAGGGGTAATAATTTCTTGTGTCGCTTTCTGATTATTATAGTACCCCTTCATGACTTGCGGCCCCTTGACACAATATTCTCCAAGCTGTCGCGGACCCAACGGTTTATTTGTGTTATTGTCGACGATCTGGGGAAAAAAAGTTGAGAAACATGAATTAGAAAACTGTCTAAAATCTGTTTTAATCGCCCCATGCTTCTCTACTCCTTAAACTTTCTCGTTATTGTAGTTTTTGTAAATCTTTTCACGGCTTGTAGTAGTAGTAGTAGATTTTACCCCACTAGGACATCACACAAGCGATAAAAACCGGATGACACAAAATGCCACCATGTGGATGAGGATCACCCATGCAGAGGTCCCAGAAATGCGTTCAGCCACATTTATGGCCGGGCTATATTACGGCCCCTGGCAAGAGTCAGGGTGGGGCCAGTAGTTTAGGGTGTGTTGCCTAAACTACTGGGGATATACTAATCTTCTCTGTATCGTTACAATTTTACTATATATACTGCGCAAATTCGTGAAGCGTTCCATATTTAAAAAAAAAAAAAAAACTAAACTACTGGGGCTTCAAATAACGAAAAATCGCATCCCACAGGGAGATGACAAGAATTCAGCTTCACGACTTGGTAAAAACTTTCTTAGATGAATCTAAAGTGTCACAGATGTCGCTGGCTCACCGTTACTGCCATTTCTGGCAGTGAGATGCTCCAGAGAATTTCTGTTTTAAATAAGCTAAGTTCCGAGGTCTACTTAGCCTGATATAAGTTACAGGAAATGTAACTGGGAAGTAAAGGTGGCTGGCGTGATATTGTCCACATCATCCAGCAAATGCAGATTGGTGTGTGCACATATGTGAAGCACATTATGCTCACTTCCAGGTTTGGACACAGTGATCTAGACCCTTTTGTAGAAAAGTTTCCTTAAAATCGGCAATAGACGGCTGTGTCAGTTTTCTGGAACTCCAGACGAATAAAAAAAAATATGGTGAAAGACTTACAAGTGTTGTCTTTATGTCCTATTTTACCGCTTCAGGTGTCGAGGGAGATATAAGGTCTTGCTTCAGGTGTCGAGGGAGATATAAGGTTCTGCTTCAGGTGTCGAGGGAGATATAAGGTCCTGCTTCAGGTGTCGAGGGAGATATAAGGTCCTGCTTCAGGTGTCGAGGGAGACATAAGGTTCTGCTTCAGGTGTCGAGGGAGATATAAGGTCCTGCTTCAGGTGTCGAGGGAGATATAAGGTTCTGCTTCAGGTAACGAGGGAGATATAAGGTTCTGCTTCAAGTAACGAGGGAAACATAAGGTTCTGCTTCAGGTAACGAGGGAGATATAAGGTCCTGCTTCAGGTGTCAGGAGAGACATAAGGTTCTGCTTCAGGTGTCGAGGGAGACATAAGGTTCTGCTTCAGGTAACGAGGGAGATATAAGGTCCTACTTCAGGTGTCAAGGGAGACATAAGGTTCTGCTTCAGGTAACGAGGGAGATATAAGGTCCTGCTTCAGGTGTCGAGGGAGATATAAGGTCCTGCTTCAGGTGTCGAGGGAGATGTAAGGTCATACTTCAGGTGTCGAGGGAGACATAAGGTTCTGCTTCAGGTGTCAAGGGAGACATAAGGTTCTGCTTCAGGTGTCGAGGGAGACATAAGGTTCTGCTTCAGGTGTCGAGGGAGATATAAGGTCCTGCTTCAGGTGTCAATGGAGACATAAGGTTCTGCTTCAGGTGTCGAGGGAGATATAAGGTTCTGCTTCAGGTGTCAAGGGAGACATAAGGTCCTGCTTCAGGTGTCGAGGGAGATGTAAGGTCATACTTCAGGTGTCGAGGGAGACATAAGGTCCTGCTTCAGGTGTCAAGGGAGACATAAGGTTCTGCTTCAGGTGTCAAGGGAGACATAAGGTCCTGCTTCAGGTGTCGAGGGAGATGTAAGGTCATACTTCAGGTGTCGAGGGAGACATAAGGTCCTGCTTCAGGTGTCAAGGGAGACATAAGGTTCTGCTTCAGGTGTCAAGGGAGACATAAGGTTCTGCTTCAGGTGTCAAGGGAGACATAAGGTTCTGCTTCAGGTGTCAAGGGAGACATAAGGTTCTGCTTCAGGTGTCGAGGGAGATATAAGGTCCTGCTTCGGGTGTCGAGGGAGATATAAGGTCCTGCTTCAGGTGTCGAGGGAGATATAAGGTTCTGCTTCAGGTGTCGAGGAAGATATCAGGTCCTGCTTCAGGTGTCGAGGAAGATATCAGGTCCTGCTTCAGGTGTCGAGGGAGATATAAGATCCTGCTTCGTGCTTTTCTGGCTGCTTCGACTATAGACATACTCTGGTATTGTAGAGTTTCTCTTATATTATCCTTTCATATTGCTTTTGGTCTACCTCTTGCTCTACGCTCCTCTCCTCCTTTGGTATTTGTATTGAATGGTATAGCATCAGAAGGCATTCTCTTCAAGTGAGCAAACCGTTTGATTTGCTGTCTTTCTATGTAATTTAGAATTGGTTCTGACCCGAAAATATCTCTTCTGGTAACTCATACAGCCTTTCTCAGACACCTCATTTCCATGGTTTTCTTTTTGTTTTGTTGTGAGTGACCACGTCTGGCACTGGTGATCAGACCGTTTATATCCTTGTGTGCTTGTTGTAGCGGTTCATTTACAAGTACTGACCATAATTTATGGAATCAAAGGAGTGGCTTCAATCTGTAGGCATTTATTTAATATGCATTTCTTATTTCTGATATTATAAGAGTCGATAAATTATTATACATTTATTCATCATGATAACAGGCAGACATTTTGACAGAGAAGTCAAGACATAAATAGACAGTCAGACAGACAGGCAGGTAAAGAAGTAGCCAGACAGACAGGTGTGGCGTGGCGTGATCAAATTCGCATGTGTAAGCTGTATTGTAGTACCAGCAACATGTAGCTTTCATTTGTTGCAGTTCCTGCATGAACGACGTAAGCATGCAGCGAGTGTTCTTTTCGGAATGCTCGAGACGTAACCAAATGGCGTACTTGTAATAAATAGTCAGTTAATTAACATGTTAAAACGGTATCCTTTACAGGACGTTGCTTAAACCAACCCCAACAGCCACTGGCTGTTGTGTGGTTTATCTAGGCAAATATTTACGTCCAGTAGTTTGTCATTGCTTCCTGGACGGTCGGCTTCTCGATACCACTGTCGAAACCAAAGCAAGGCGCAAGGCCCGCAGCTGGGATCGAACCTGGCACCCCGACATTACTAAGCACTTGCGCAACGCCCTAGCCACAGACACCGGCAAATAGTAAGAAGTAAAAATTAGTAAAATATTTTTTTTCTGTGGCACTGGAAACTGTAAGGGGAGATGACAGACATTACATGCAGGCATCACCACAGACAGACAGACAGACAGACAGACAGACAGACAGACAGACAGACAGACAGACAGACAGACAGACAGACAGACAGACAGACAGACAGACAGACAGACAGACAGACAGACAGACAGACAGACAGACAGACAGACAGACAGACAGACAGACAGACAGACAGACAGACAGACAGACAGACAGACAGACAGACAGACAAATACAGACAGACACAGACAGGCAGGCAGGCATGCAGACAGACACAGACAGGCAGGCAGGCATGCAGACACACACAGACAGGCAGGCAGACAGACAGAAATTGTTAGTGTGAAAATGCAAGGACGTATACATATCAGTGTACAAGAACCTGTCCTAGCGTGTTGACCAACATGGTGCCAACAGAGCCGCACATCTTGTTGGTGTAATCGACGTTTGTTGCTGGCGAGGTCTCAGTCATGCCATAACCTGCGAGTGGAAGGGAAGTACAGGTACAGTTAGGTTTAACTAGTCTTGAGGTTTGTGGTTCGAGGTTTGAACAACGGATCAACATCATGGCACACGGTTAGTAACCCATAAGTGCTCCATTCTTCTTCTAACCCAAGTCTGAGTCCGAAGAAGCTCAACACAGTGCACAGGCTCTGTAGCACCGGTGAGGATCCTGAAATACTTTGTCCATTTATTCCGTCAAATAAACTAAACTAAACTAATAATTAAACTGATATAAAAGCATGCGTCCCCCAAAAAATATATTATAACTGATTGATTGATTGATTGATAAAGAGCTGACTAGTAGCACTACCAAACACCCATGGATCTCCATCTCCTGTAGCTAGTGTCCCAAAACGAAACATACTCACACACACACACACACACGCACACACACACACACACATACACACACACAGACACACACTTAAACAAATCAATCAATCAATCAGTCAGGTGTCGTCTCTGCAGTGAAGGGTGGCTGCACTAGATCTCTACCACTCAGTTACCTTGTGCAAGAGTCACTCCAAATGAATGTCGTTGAAGAAATTCCTGAGTGAGACCTTCTCCCAGTGGAGCAGCGGCGGAGTAGATTCTCCGCAAGGAGGTGATGTCATACTTAGACACCCCTGGGTGTTTGGCTAGAAAGTTTACAACAGCCGGGACAAGGTTTGCCAGTTCGATCTGCGAAATAGGGTAAAATTGTAACACAATTCTATACGAGGGACTTTAGTCAATATCGTTAACTGACCTCCCCTTTACCTATCAATTTTTATAAAATGTCTATATTTAAACGGCGTGGTTTGGGCTTTGCGAGTCCGACTCCTAATTCCAACGTACCGAGAGCGAAACCCACTTCTGGCTGCGTGGATTTTTATCATGACATCTGGCGTCCCAGATCGAACCGGCCTAAAAGGGGTATCAGGATGTATGTCCTGGGGAAGAAAAGACTGCCGGCATAATACTGACCACATTACCCACCTAGTGCCGATTGGTCTGTAAAAATATGGGTGCTCTTCTCATATGTCCGATGCGCCTAAATGGCGTAAAAAGGGGTCTTTACTTTACATTTATATTTAAACTATACAACAATACATCCGTAGGTGCCTCTTACAGTATTTCTTTTTATAACATATAAAACCTCTTAGTATTTCTTATATAATTTATAAAACTGCAGGACAATAATACATGTTATTGGCTCAACATATTACTTGTACTACCATGCGGATTAAAAATTCGCAGGCTCACGACCTGCCTGTGGTAAATACAGGAAGTAAAGACTCATCTATCTCTCTCTCTCTCTCTCTCTCTCTCTCTCTCTCTCTCTCTCTCTCTCTCTCTCTCTCTCTCTCTCTCTCTCTCTCTCTGTCAGTTCAAGTATTTCCTTATATTTGTTTGCCATTCAACACACTGAATGACATAAATATATATTTATATACAAGCTGCACCCGGCCCCGCGTTGCTGTGGCTCAGTCTGGCTAAATGAAAAAGAAAGAAAATAGAAAGTGTACGTGTCTAATATTGTTAATTCTACAATCATTGTCTGCGCAGACTAAGGGATAGTCTGGTTTGCCGACTCTAAAACACACAACACATAACTGTGTCTTTATATTAGTGGTCGTTTAAATTGTATTATTAAGACTTTTTTAAATGGTTATTTGTACATGCTAATGCTTTTTTTCCCCACAGCTGAAAGTAAAGATTAACATATAACCAACATAAACAAAAAAAAAATTTTTTTTTTTTTAAAGATGCCGATTTGAACATCGCTCGAGCTATGTGGTTCGTGCTTTTTGCGACACTCTAACATTTAAATCGAAAGCGACGTTGTAAAAAAATTCTTAAGCAATCGGCAAAGAACTTTACATTTTTATTTATAAAGATTATACTTGAAGTTATACGAAATGTTACCCCCTGAGGTTTCCGGGTGTCATTGTAGCGGAAAAGAAGAATTGATCCACTGCTTTCTTAACAAGCATGTCGTAAAAGTCGACTAAAAAGGGGCTTTCTTTGAAGTTGGGGTGCATCTGCCTGAGAAGCAAGGAAACAACAGTTTGCATACAATAGGTCAGACCTGTAAAACGGATGTGTACACACACTCAAATACTAGGAGAAGACTAAAGTTCAGAGATGAGCGAGCAAACAGAACTTTCCGCCGGAATTTACAGCCAGTGAACGCGAAGAAAAATAAGATATGGAATGTGTAAACAAATACTTGTGAAGAAAATTTCCACAGACGGTAAAGCGAACCTTTTAGTCCCCTTAAAAATTATGGGGGGAGGGGAGCTGAACTCAATTACCTTAAAATGGGGGCCGCTTGAAGGGTCTAAGTCCCTAGGTTGCGGCGTCTACACAATGGATTGCACAGGAATAAGGGCCGTCTTACCGTATGGGCCCACTGGGCGCTTGCCCGGGGCTCCCACGAACATAAGGGATCCATGCTAATCCGTGTATGTCAAGTGACTTGCCATTATTAGAAATGTTATTCCTGTGAGTGTTTGTCGTAGGGGTCCCGGTACACTGGTTTGTCCAGGAGCCCATAATGCTAATAAGACGGTCCAAGTAAGTAAGTAAGTTTGACCCCACCAGGACATCATACACAGCGATAAACACCCGGTGACACAAAGTGCCATCATACGGATGAGGATCACCCTTAGAGAGGTCCCGGAAACCCCGTTCAACCGCTGGGTTATATTAGGGCCTCCAGCAACAGCCAAGGTGGGGCTTCAAAATAACGAAAAAGTTGCATCGCACAAGGGGACAACGAGTTTATAATTCTTGGTCCTGACAGGGACAGAAATCGATCAAATAGTTTTTGTAACAGTTTGCAGTCCCCAAATTATGGGAAATGGCAAGGTCATAAACAACATTATAAAGTACTGATAAATGAACTAACTTTAGCATCTTGCAGACACCTGAGAAAAGTCTCGGGGTCAAACTTGGGCAGTTGCACCAGGCAGGCTCCACTCTGGAGGACACAGTATTGGTCAATCACCATGCCCAAGATATGATAAAGGGGGAGTAACCCCAACGCTTTCTCGCCAACACTGACCGGGACAGAAGCTCTGAAATCAGATGAAAACATGTCAAAAATTAAATATGAAACAATCCAGTTGTAGCACCTAGTTATACTGCACATAGCTAGGACGCTTTATGCAGAGCCATAAGCCGCCTGTCAACAGTGATGCACATAGCACGAATTCCGTAGAACAAGCGACGATGTTCAAGAATTTCTGAAAACACTGCTTTCACGAGAATCATTAAGTTCTAAAAGCAGTTGACTAGTTCTGTCGCTCGACACAAATGTCTTCACCATTTCGTCTGGAGGATTCTCTAATGAATACTTATTTCCTCTCTTCTTTTCTTCTCGATCTTTTTATTCTCTGCACAGTGTTTGTTGTTTCACATCTTTTCATTTTCTGTTTCATAGCAGAAGTTTAGGACCGATTACCGCACCTGCAGGGAGTTTACCTGAATTTTTAGAACGCCTGGTTCTCATTCGAACAAAGCAGGAACTCTTCAGTAACAGATATGACACCCTGGATCTTGGAAACACCTGCACTAACGAATGCAGGAATACATCAAAAAGTGACATCACTGTACTTGGGACATTACCACACCAGCTCCGTCTCCTTCTTCAGTAACTAACAAAGAATCGGAATGCTAACAGTACTGGTGGCAAACTGATTCAAAGTCCGACTGTTTCCCCTTCATTGGATCAATTCTTGTGTTCCCCTACAATGGCACCCGGAACCCTCAGGGGGTGACATTTCGTATAACTTCAAGTATAATCTTTATAAATAAAAATGTAAATGTTCGTATGTGGCTAATTGGTAATCTTCGAACGTTCAAATATGTTTCTCTATCAGAACCTCTACTGACCCTGCGTTGAATTAGTCTGTCAGTGTATGGATTATGTTCTACTGCACTATCCATTTAATCGTAGAGAGTCTTTACCATGTTCGCTTTATCCTAAAGTGGCTTGTCACGAAAAGGAGCTAAAGCCCTAACCTGCACAGTGCGTAGAGTTGCAATGCGACACTAATGCCTCAGGTTCAAAGACCTCTCTGCCTACCCCACACACACAAACAGTCGTCAATACAGGCAGCAAAGGCAGTCTGGTAAGGCTAAAGAAGGATACAAAATTCACAGGACAACAAAAACATGCAGAGAGAAAAGAGGACTAGACAACGATAGAACAATCATGAGAACGACATGGGGGTGAGATAAAAAGGTAAAGCGTGGCTAAGCCTAAGATGACGTGTTGCATTTTGTTGAGTACTTCAACTGGTACGCCAGAACATGGACTCTCCTTCAACTACCATTCCTCCCTCCCCCCATAAAAATATCCAGGGGTGGGAAGTGGGAGTGGCTGAGCTCTCTAAAAAAATTTTTAGCTGCTATGAGTTCTCTTTTTCTTCTTCTTAGCGTTCAGCGATGGCCGGCTCATGGATCAGGCTGACATTATCAATGCCCTGAGAGAGATGGGACGTTGTTAGGTTTTGGAAGCAACGTGTCCTCATCACTGCTAAGAAGTCGAGAACTGAGAGTAAAGATCGCAGCCAAGCATAAAAAGCAAAGAAGACGCACACAAAGCATTGACAACCAGCAGAGGACTGACACTATTAACCTTGCGACTCTGATGAATATGTTGAAGAAGGAATCCGAGCTGCGAAGATAATCCAACATTTTAACTCACAACTCATCTCCACTGATTTCTTTGGTTCCGCGCCTGTGGACATACGATCCATTGGAGCATGAAGGGTTAAAAAAAAGATCAACCTAGTGACTGCAAGAATCAATTTGACTTACTGGATCTGTATGCAATTAGCCAGTACATTGAAGTGTGTCAGCATCACTCCCTTTGGAAGACCTGTGGTTCCGCTGGAGTATGGGAGCACGAACACGTCTTTCTTGGGGTCGATGTAGACGTGTGGGAAGCCCCGCCCATCGTCTTCTAGTAGACTTTGAAATGATCGCAGGCCAGGAGACGTCCCAAACACAAATACTTGCTGGTTTGATAACACAGAAAGGAAGTGAGTGAACTACACAAAAGATGAACATACACACACACACACACACACACACACATGTATATACGTATATATATATATATATATATATACATATATATATATATATATATATATATATATATATGTATATATATATATATAGAGAGAGAGAGAGAGAGAGAGAGAGAGAGAGAGAGAGAGCGACAATGGAATGATTTAAAGCCGACAGTCTGTCTCTGTCTCTTTCTTTTCATCTCTCTGTCTCTATCTCTATCTCTGTCTGTCTGTCTGTCTGTCTGTCTGTCTGTCTGTCTGTCTGTCTGTCTGTCTGTCTGTCTGTCTGTCTGTCTGTCTGTCTGTCTGTCTGTCTGTCTGTCTGTCTGTCTGTCTGTCTGTCTGTCTGTCTGTCTGTCTGTCTGTCTGTCTGTCTGTCTGTCTCTCTCTCTCTCTCTCTCTCTCTCTCTCTTTGTCTCTCTCTCTCTCTCTCTCTCTCTCTCTCTCTCTCATCTCTGTCTCAATATTTCTTCGCTTTGTATTTTGGTCGAACAGATTCTATATCGTATATGCCTGGCCCAAATCTCGGAGTTAGATAAAATAAATAAAAAAACTGTGTTTCTTCTAGCAAAGACTAGTGTAATTGTTTTTAAATCATTACGCAGAAAAGGTAAAGAGAGAGAAGTGGCAGCAGCAACAGTAGCAGCAGCTGCAGCAGCAGCAGTAGTAGTAATAGTAGTAGTAGTAGTAGTAGTAGTAGTAGTAGTAGTAGTAGTAGTAGTAGTAGTAGTAGTAGTAGTAGTAGTAGTAGTAGTAGTAGTAGTAGTGGTGGTGGTAGTAGTAGTAGTAGTAGAGTAGTAGTGGCGGTGGTAATGGTGGCGGAGGTAGTAGCAGTAGAAGATGTAGTAGTAGAAGCAGTAGTATTAGTAGCAGTAGTAATAGTAGTAGTAGTAGTAGCAGCAACAGCATCAGAAGTATTAGTAGCAGCAGTAGTAGTAGCAACAGCATCAGCAATATTAGAGGTAGTAAAAAAAGATGTAGCAGAAGCAGCAGCAGCAGCAGTAGTACAAGAAGTAGCAGCAGAAGAAAAATAAGTACTAGTAGCAGCAGTAGTAGTAGTAGAAGAACAGTAGAAGAAAAAGAAGTAGTAGTAGCAGCAGAAGCAGCGATAATAGTAGTAGTAGTAGTAGTAGTAGTAGTAGTAGTAGTAGTAGTAGTAGTAGTAGTAGTAGTAGTAGTAGTAGTAGTAGTAGTAGTAGTAGTAGTAGTAGTAGTATTAGTAGTAGTAGCAGTAGTAGTAGTAGTAGTAGTAGTAGTGGTGGTGGTGGTGGTGGTGGTAGTAGTAGTAGTAGTAGTGGTGGTGGTGGTGGTGGTGGTGGTGGTGGTGGTAGTAGTAGTAGTAGTAGTAGTAGTAGCAGTAGAAAAAAAAGAAGTAGTAGCAGTAGCAGCAGCAGCAGCAGTAGTAGTAGTATTAGTAGTAGTAATAGTTGTTGTAGAATAAGAAGTAAAAAAAGTAATGTAAAGATCCCACGATAAAAATCAACGCAGGTTTCGATCGCGGTACGTTGGTTTACGAGTCAGACTCGCAACACCTTAGCCACGGACGCCGCAGAATAAGAAGTAGCAGTAGAAAAAAAGAAGTAGTAGCAGCAGCGGTAGCAGCAACAGCAGCAGCAGTAGTAGTAGAAGTAGAAGTAGCACTAGAAGAAAAAAAAAGTAGTTCTAGCAGCAGTAGCAGTGGAAGAAGTCGCAGTAGAAGAAAAAGAAGTAGTAGCAGCAGCAGCAGTAGCAGTAGTAACAAATTCTCATTCCTACCTTGACATTGTGCTTGTAATTTCTGCAGTCCAACGCCTCTCTGACAGTTGCAGAAAGATGGGGCATGGTGAACACTGCCTGACTGCCACTGTCTTGTAGTTGTCGGCTGAGTTCATCTGATAGTGATACATCGAACAGGCATCTTGCTAGAGATTCTACCGGGGCCAATGAGTGGGTGAGTGAGCGGATGAGTGAGATGGTGACGGATGTGACTGAGTGAGTGAGTTAGTAAGTCAGTTAGTGAGTGAGTGCGTTTGTGAATAAAGAATGGAGTGAGCAAGAGGGTGAGTGAGCAGATGAGTGAGCTGGTGAAGGACGTGACTAAGTGAGTGAGTCAGTCAGCAAGTTAGTGAGTTTGTGAATAAAGAAGGGAGTGAGAAAGTGGGTGAGTAGGTGAGTGAGCGGATGAGTGAGATGATGAAGGACGTGACTGAGTTAGTGACTGAGTGAGTCAGTAAGTTCGTGAGTTTGTGAATAAAGAAGAGATTGAGTGAGTGGGGGAGTATGTAAGTGAACGGATGAGTGAGACGGTAAAGGATGTAACTGAGCTAGTGAGTCAGTCAGTAAGTCAGTGAGTTTGTGAATAAAGAAGGGAGTGAGTGAGTGAGTGGATGACTGAGATGGTATAGGATGTGACTGAGTGAGTGAGTAAGTCAGTAAGTCAGTGAGTTTGTGAATAAATAAGGGAGTGAGTGAGTGAGTGGATCAGTAGGTGAGTGAGTGGATGAGTGAGATGGGGAAGGGTGTAACTGAGTGAGTCAGTCAGTGAGTGAGTTTGTGAATAAAGAAGGGTGTGAGTGACTGAGTGAGGTAATAAGTTATCAGTAAGTCAATGAAAAGGAATGGAGTGAGTGAATGGATGAAGGATGTGTTTGAGTGAGTGAGTGAGTGAGTGAGTGAGTGAGTGAGTGAGTGAGTGAGTGAGTGAGTGAGTGAGTGAGTGAGTGAGTGAGTGAGTGAGTGAGTGAGTGAGTGAGTGAGTGAGTGAGTGAGTGAGTGAGTGAGTGAGTGAGTGAGTGAGTGAGTGAGTGAGTGGGTGAGTGAGTGAGAGAGTGAGTGAGTGAGAAAATTGTGATAATTAGAAAACCATTGATATAAGCCACACACAAAAACAACAACAACAACAACGAGAACAATTCATGATAGATTGTTTAACAACATGAATAATGCAATCTACTTGATATGCAGTAAAGTTTGGATTGGATTATGTAGGCTATTTCACCTGCAATAAAAGTTAGAGGAATGTGTACACTTCTTTACCCACAGTAAAAGTTGGATTGGATAATGCAGATTACTTTACATACAGTAAAAGCTGGATTGGATAATGCAGGTTACTTTACCCACAGTAAAAGTTGGATTGGATAATGCAGGTTACTTTACCCACAGTAAAAGTTGGATTGGATAATGCAGGTTACTTTACCCACAGTTAAAGTTGGATTGGATAATGCAGGTTCCTTTACCTACAGTAAAAGTTGGATTGGATCATGCAGATTACTTTACCTACAGCAAAAGTTAGAGGATTATGTACACTTAATTATGCACAGTATAAGATGGACTGGTTAATGTAGGTTACTTTACGAACAATACAAGTTTGAGAATTAAGTATACTACTTTACCCCCAGTAAAAGTTGGACTGGATAATGTAGGCTACTTTACCTGCAGTAAAAGTCGGATTAGCTGCACTGTACCAGACTCCCAGGCTGGCACAAGCTAACATCAAAACAGGCAGGTCGATGTGATTGGTAGAGAACGACAAAACGACATCTCCTTTCTTGTACCCGAGCCGATGAAGAGCGCTGGCCACTTTGATTGCGTTCTTTTTCACTTGCGAGTAGGTGTAGGTTCTTCCACTCACAAACTCTGTCTGTCAAGTAGTTTAAGAAAGTATAGAAACAAGTTAAATTAAACAGTAAAGATTAAATATACAAGAGCAACATTAAAGGAATACTGCTATTCAAGAGTTGAAGCTGGAAAATGACAGCGGGAATTACACATAAACTTGAGACTTTTCCAAATAAATGTTTAAGGAGGATTCTACGAATATTTTGGCAAAACAAGATCACAAATTAAGAACTGAGAAAGAAAACAAAATGTGCAGCACTGGCAAATGTTATCAAAGTAAGACGATGGAGATGGCTTGGACATGTTTGCAGAATGCCTTGTGACACTCTGGCGAAAACCGCTCTCCGGTGGACAGCAGATGGGAAAAAGAGACGTGGACGACCTAAGGAAACCTGTAGAAGGACAACAGAACGGGAAATGAAGGAATGTAAACTGACATGGGATACCATGGGCAGAAAAGCAGCAGACCGGCAGTAATGGGGATCACTTGGGAACGCCTTATGTGTCAACAGCGTAAAGAAGTGGATATAGAAAGAAAGATTAAAAGTTAAAGGTAATTGCCCCGGATTATTCCAAATGGCCTGGCCTCTCTCCAGAGAAATATAACCCCCCCCCCCTCCTCTCCCCCTGCTCCGAGAGAGCCTCACACAGAAAGCATGAATTCCGTAGTTCCAGAAACGATCCCTATTCGTAAAATTTACAGACGTGAACTCAAAGACGCGCCTGCAAAGCGACAACCTTCAGTGCATGAGGCAAACGATTGGATCTCTTAGCCACAATGATTTTTATCAAATTCTTATTCTTTTCTTAACTGCAACCAGCTACAAACTCCGGCGAACGTTGGTCCTGTTCCAGCACCTGAGTTTTGCGTGCACATCTGTTTTACAGATCTGACTTACCTGTGTACCTTCTGCTGGTTCCTCGCTTCCCAGGCAGATGCAGTCCTACTTTAAAAGAAACCTTTCTAATTAGTCGCCGTATACGACATGCTTATTAGGAAGGCAGTGGGTCTATCCCATGCGGCCCCGGAACTCACACGAGGGGCTATCAAAATAAAGTGGATGAATGATTAATTATGCAGAGGTGTGGGGTTTGAACAACGGATCAGCATCATGGCACACGTAATGATAAGTTTCATCACTCTCTAGGGGGTTGTGTGTTAGACCCAGTTTCTAAATGGTTTTGGAGTGTTAAAAGCTCTGGCATGGTGAAATTTACAACACGCGGTATCGACTGCACTGCGGAACAGCTCCGTCACCTTGTGTGAAAGTCGGATGGCTCGAGGCCGACCAATCAGGAGTGAGGTGGGCTAAAGGTCGACAAATCAGAAGTGAGCTAGTGTGTACAGGTGTGTAAAATGAGGGGATTATCTTTTGTTTGTAATCACACAACCCACCCTAGAGAGTGATGAAACCTGTGTCACAGACAGTTTCTTTCTCGGAAGAAAGACGTAACTGCTACGCAACAACATACCGCCACACCCATAACCTCGACCACGGTAGACTAGTCCAACAAACCTATCAATGAAATTGTCTTACTTCTCGTGGGAAGACTAACGTTTGTAGAACCCCTTTTTGTTTTACCCAACTCTGTTCTTATACGGGAGGCATATTTTTTCTTTAAAAAAAAAATCAAGTGTGTCCCAATATGGCATGTATTTTTAACCCCTCCCCTTCCCCCCCCCCCTTTTTTTCCCCTTTCCCCGGCTATCGTCGAAGAGTCTGACATAACCTAACGGTTGAAGAGATTTTCTGGCGATTGTGCCGGGGGTGATTCTCATCCAAATAAGGACACTTTGTGTCACCGGGTGTTTATCACTCGTTGTGTGGTTCTAAACATCACTCACTCGTTTATGAACAGGAAATTAAAGTTATTTTTTATGCATATTTTATTTTGAATCAATATATATGTTTAATTAAAGTGGGTATATCCAAATAAAAGAAGTGTACTGAGTATAGTCAACAGTAGTGTGGAAATGTATGTAACAATTAGTGTGAGATGGGGATGTGATGTTTATTTTTGTCAGGTTTATTTTTTGAAGATGGGAATGCGAACATACTTAAATTATGAAAATGAAATTGATGAAGTACAACAGATAACACAAGAAACAGAAATGGTGAAAGACGCTGGTCCCTGAATATTACCAACACAAGCAGAACTGTCTTATAGCTTTTATAGAATGATTCTGTTAGATCAAACATAGACTGACAGACAGACAACATATTAAGTAGACAGACAATTACCACTGCTGGCAAATCCTTGTAGAGATCACATTTCTCAAATATATACTCATGAAACGGAGTGTCTGTGGGGAGGACTAGATCTGGCAGGTGACTCCTGATGATGTTGTCCCCTGAGTCGAGGCTGGAACTTCGTACCTCTGATGTTGTCAGGACACGCCGCTGAACACACTGTGCCACACACTTTACACGGAGTCTGGCTGCCGTCACATTGTGTCTCCTGCCAATCGATTCTTTTAGTGAATTCCTTAATAAATCAAACAGCATAGTGTTTTTACACAGAAACCATCCGTATCGCTTCATTGTCTTGTCTCGGTACAGTAAGAAATGGACAAATGAATGTTGTAAATTCTGAAAAGTCCGTTTCGGTTTCCGAGACAAGATGCTGTGTACTAGCCAAAATTACTTGATGTTAGGATGTCATAATTTTTTTCCTTTTTTGTCCATGGTATTCATTTAGTCGACTACAGACGTGATAAATGTTAATCTTTAATTTGGTTGTCTATACAGCCGTTTAGTTCGTTCTAAACGTTGCCAGATAGTTGCGGATTGGTATAAACTCTGGCATATTCTGCTATGGCATGGCACTGACATTTCTGTGGATTGGAAAAAACATATTGTAAATCAAGGGTTTTTATTTTTTAAAATGTTACACTTCTGTTCAATTACATCTCTACCACTGCCGGTCCAAAGCCCGGATGAAATAGGAGGAGGGTTGAGCGTGAGGCCAGATTTCCCACCATGTAAACAAAAATATTTGCTACAGAAACTTGCAAGAATTTATGTGAAACCACCAGTATCAACAGTTATATGAAGAGAAGATGACGTATATAAAACACATTCTGAGAAGAGACTAGCAACGAATCACCAAATGGGCATTGAAATGGAGAATAAAGGGATTTAGAACAGGAGGACGTCCAATAGAAACTCTCGGGCGTACGTTGATGAAACAGGTTTAAGACACTGAATTGGATTCCTTCCATGATGATGAAGTGAGTCTTAAAATGCGACTTGATAACTCAGAGGACGGAATGGAAAATATGCACACAGCTTGTGCTTTGTTTAATTTAGTACTCCGTCGATAAAGAATTGGGTAGAAAAGTTCGGTTGCATTTGTGCCCGTATTTTCATTTATTTCGTTGAGTTATCTTTTCACATTTTTATGTTGTGTTTAGCACAGCTTATCATCGTCATCAATCTGCAAGTCCTTTACAGAACGTCGCTCCCTTCACGGCACGCCTGAAAGTATCCCTTTCTCTAGCCAGCTCTCCAGCCCTATGTGCTTTCAATGCCAATGCATCTTTAATGACTTGTATCCATCTTCGCTGTGGTTGATCCCTACCTCGCCTTCCACAAACTGCACCTTCATTCACCGTCTTTTCCAAGCCACCATGACGCTTGAAGTGGCCAAAATACTTTAACTTTCGGGACAGGATGCTGTTTATGAGCCAGTTCTCCTTTATGTTCAACTCGATCAGAATGTCGATGTTTTTCCTCTTCCTGATCCATGGTATTCTAAGAATTTTTTTAATAACATTTCATTTCAAAAGCTATAATCTTTTTCCTCAGTGACTGAGTGAGAGTCTAAGACTCACAATCGTAGGTGTATAATTGTTACACAGAGCCTGAAAAGTACAAGCAAGCTTAGCTTGTATGAAATCATTTCACAACATTATGGGATTTTGCTGAGTGCAGAAAAGCAACATATATCAATGGCATTTTATGGCCAAATAATGTCGTGGCGTCGGCTCTGTGGCTCAGTCGATGCGAACGCTAGGTAATGCCGGGGTGCTGGGTTCGATCCCAGGTGCGGGCCATGCGCCTTGCGTTGGTTTCGACAGTGGGATCAGGGGTCGACCGTCTAGAAAGCAATGGCAAACTACTGGTCGTAAATGTGCCTAGATAAACCACACAACAGCCAGGGGCTGCTGGAGTTGGTTCTGTAACGCCCTGTAAAAGGATACGCAAATAACCTTAACCTTAATGTCGTGGCGAGTGTAAGCCGACCCACACTCAAACTGCCCCAGTGACAAGAAAAAAAAACAGAAACAGTTTGTTAGGCGGGCGCTAAGATCAATAGTGTCTTAACCTAGACAGGATATGTTTTGTATGAAGTTTAATCATCTTTAATGTTATCCGTTAATTGAGAACAGGTCCTGAAAAAAACAAACTGACGCCAAGCCCTAATATTTAGGACAAAATATTAGTCCTCATATTATTCGTTTCTATCGCTGTCTTCTTTGTTTTAGGTGTCCATCGTTTTCGTTTGCCATGTGAGATGGGAACAAAGGACTTACAAGTTATACTGCTAAGGGATTTTCACTTTTCTATGTTTCCTATTCAGCGCCAGGGTCTTTTCCTCATCTCATCATTATTTATCTCATTAATCTCATTATTATAGTGGTGTGCTTCTGGTTCTCGTTCGTTTGGCCTCCCTACATAATTGATGCTAAAGTTTCTCCAAGTATAATTATTATCTTCGTGGTGAGTGTAAGCCGGCCCACACTCAAACTGCCTCAGGGACAAAAGAAAAAAAAAGAGCAAAACTTTGCTAGGCGGGGGCTAAGACCAATAGTGTCTTAACCCAGACAACATATGTTCTATATGAAGTCTAATCAGTAGCAACGCTAAAACTAGGCACACTAATTACAAGTCCTAATCCAAATCAAAACAACTGGAACTAAAATTATCGCATTAAACATATGTTTATTTTACTGAACACAAAACTCACGGGTTCACAAATAACAATACATTAACAACCATCGACGTGCTCGAACAGACCAAGTGTGACTCACTCCACTAACAAGGAAATATGATACATAACGAATACATCTAGACAAATTACATCACTGATGGCAAAAATCGAAACAAATTAACTTGTACGTTAAGCTTCAACATACCACCAGATCAGTAAATCGTCCATGGCAACCTGCAGTCAACTATCTCCGAGCGAAGGTACACACTGCTACCTAGGTCTGGCTCACACAATTCAATTACTGATGGAAATCTAAGTCTAGCACTGAAACTAACTATCAAGAGTTACCGAAACTGTTAAGTAGCCACCCCATCCCTCAACATAGTCCTCTCTCTCTCTCTCTCTCTCTCTCTCTCTCTCTCTCTCTCTCTCTCTCTCTCTCTCTCTCTCTCTCTCTCTCTAGGGCGTCCGGTCAGTTAAGAGGACAGGAAGCTAAGAAGGCCAAACGTCCTATCCCGTCCCTTTTATCAACTTCTGACCTCTGCTTGCCAGATTTTTGTTTACTTGCATCCTAATCAAACCGAATTTATAATGACCGCCACGAGCCTGTTACAACTTTTTAGTTTGTTGATTTATCATCATTATCATCATCCAGACACGTCACTGTGTGCCCAGTACCCCCTCTCAGTCTGAACCCCAGCGTCTGGTGGTTAATAGTACCAGTTTTATGTTGATTAACAATTCCTTTGACGTGCCTGATGTGAGTCTGGTCTATTGCTACACCGATCTTAACTCCCAAGTCTATCATTCTGGCGAGAAATGTAGATTTACTGCCCCAAAAGTCCTCCACCTTTCCCATTTCTCGAAAGGCATTAATAAATTTCGTAGTGTTAGCCAACTAGCCTTTTGAATCCTTGTAATGTCTCACTTCGTTCTCCTGACACGGTCTGCATTAACAACTGAATATGTCAAAGCAATGTTATGTTAGTCTAGCGAGATGAAGTGAAATATGCCAGCTAATAAATTATGCATTATATCTCTTGCGTTCTCTTCGTTCAAAGTCCAAATGTATGGTAGATGCACCCACACTCAGTGGTGTAGAATAGGGCACTTCAGCTTCACGACAAGACGGTCAAAACTGTTGATAAAATAACTGCATGTTGGTGTTGGAGATCCAGCGCAGCCAGCTTTTGTTGTATTAGTATCATTTTTACAAAAATATCCTGTTCAGTCCTAAGGGTTATAACTAGGATATAAAATCTTCATAGTGTTCTCAGCCCATACATTATATATATATATATATATATATATATATATATATATATATATATATATATATATATATATATATATATTTACACCGTTATCGCCGTGGGCTGTGCGTACTATGCCTCAACATGAGTATATTGCGTAAATATTTTTTACATACAATTAGGTAATTCGTATTATTGTTTCAAACACTGCTTTGATGACATCATCTTTTGGTGGGGAAAAGAGGGGTGGGCGGGTGTAAATAGAAATTCTTCTATGAATATTCAGATAATCTTACAAATAACGTGTCATTAAATTAGTGGATTTGGTATGCCGGTTAAATAATATTCAGATAATCTTACAAATATCGTGTTATTAAAATGGTGGATTTGTTATGCCGGTAATATAATAGTCGAATATCCTCGTTGATTTCATTTTACTTGTCTATGAAGATAGCATGAGTAGTGCTTACCCTTCTACATGTGGATTTCAGCTCTGGTTGCTTGGCCTTGCCATGTACGTCTAGAGCTGTCTAGGTGCAACAACATTTCCAGCGTCATTACAATAAAAACAAAAACTGAGATTCATACAGTCCAATTTTATGTGGAGCTCATATTTCTTACACTCCAGCAAGTAGTTCTCTACATTACTACACTTCTGACCAAAATCACAGGTCTCTTCATGTTGAGTTGAGTTGAGTTGAGAATTGACATCACAGCATTCGATGCAATCCCATGCGTGCTCCTTCCTCATCTTCAGCAGCCAGCACAGAGTTCCAATACTGATGGTACCGGTCACAATCTGGTTATATGTCCATCTTACTTTTCCTTTGACTGTAGTAAGCCGGCCAGACCCTTTGGTTACACGCAGGTGCTTCATTCCCTCCAGGCCATAATAATCTTGTTTCTCCACTGATTCCGTTGCTTGTTCCTAACGGGCTTGACCACATCTGCCTTGTAATGTAGCTATTCACTACCCAGTGGTGCCGATGCAGCCAATCTGTCTGCCTGTTTATTACCCACTACGCCAGGATACCTGGAGAAAAGATTCAAAGTATGCTCGCTACCCGTGACCTTCCCGGTGAAGCTTGCCACTCTGCTTGAAGCATCCCTGTCTTCACCTTTCTTAGCATGTTTCCAGAGTCTGTTACAATTACGACATGTGTATGCATCTTGTTCTCTAGCCACCGGAGAGCTGCAGTTACCGCCTCCACCTCCATTCATATGTTAGATGTTGTGATGTCGTATGCTAGGTTGTCTTGCACTAAAGTTTGTCTATTGGCTTTCGCTACGAAACCCCTGTATAGATAATCAGGTCTGTAGGTAAAGCAAAGCAACCATATCCAAGTTGTAGTCGA